ACTCGCCATGCTCGGTTGTGTCGCCCCAGGTACGTCTCCGAAAAAGAGCGGATCAGCAACCCAGACATCGAGCTCATCATCTTCGTTCATGATATTTGCTGAGGGAGTTTATCAGTCTCATCGCCATCACCGTTTACATTTATCCATCTGGAAAAGCAGAAGCAGCGTGTGACGCCATCCACGCTGTGACTGCAGGACTACAAAACAAACATGGGGACTTCGTCACAGGTGACTAAACATGTCTCTGTCTCCTAACCTTCTCCCACTTTGAAAAACGCATTGGGTTCTGCAGTGACCACACCATTCCAAAATACAGAGGTCCGCTGCTACCAAAATAACAAACCATGGGTAACCAGCAATCTGAAGGCCCTTCTTAACAAGAAGGGCTTTAAGCGACGGGACAGAGCAGAACAAATGGGTTCAGGGGGAGTTCAGACAATATAAGAGAGAGCCAGGGCAACAACACCAGGGACATCTGCAGTGGGATAAGAGATCACCAGCTTCCATCAGGGAATCACCACACCTTGCTCACTCTCACCACAGACTTATCACAGTTCCTGCCCCCAGGACGTACTCCCATCTCCCAAAGCTCCCCATCACCTCTCTGCACCAACCCACCGGTGACATATCCCCAACCCCCTGTCTGGACTCCACATCACAGCCAGCCAGGGGAGGAGAGAGCTGGAGAGGCCCAGAGGAAAGCTGCTGGACCGGACCACATCAGCCCACGCTTGTCAAAGGCATGTTCCAGCCAGCTCTGGAGTTCTCCAACACATCTTTAACCTAAGCCTTCACTTTCAGAGAGTTCTAGTGCTTCGGCAGACATACTGCCAGTCAATTATTTATATGCATTTATTATACTTATACCGTGTGTATGCTCTGTGCAGGAACAGTTACCGCTACAGGATTGGGAAAAATAGCATGGATTGAAATGGACCTTGAAATTACAACTCAATATCCTTTGAGTGAACTTCCCTCCATTGCAGTTGTCCAGGGAAAGAAAGTTAATTTGAAAAGAGTCATCGCATTTAAAGGAACCTTTACCAGAGACTGCCTGGGACATTACACAGCATCCTGCCATGCTATGTTATGCTATGTGGGAGCTTGGTGATGACATGATAAAGTTGGTAAAACAGTGTCTTAAAAAGCAAAAACACAACCACATGCTTTATTATACACAGAGTGAGACTATTGCTGTGAAAAGAGAACAAACAATTACTTATTCTCCTTTCAAAGTATAATGTTTATGATATTTTCAGGCAGTATTTTTCATGTGTGAGCATAGAAGTCATTACTTTGAACAGACAACTTTTATTGCCCCCCTGTTTTTCAGAGAAGAATTAAAAGACTTACCTTATGTCCTTTCCTGCGTTGACAAAATCCAACAACTACTCACTGACTGAATTGCAGACAAGAAAGTGCTGGAACACAACTGATGCAGATCAAAACAATAATTGCAGCCTGCAGCATGTGGAATCAATGTCACCTAATTAGAGGAAGTCATGTGATCGCCTGAAAAAACTGACGGATTAGGACCACAAAAATAAATGAAGTAAGACTAGATTTAGTTGATACATTTTCGAAGGAAAATCTAAAATGAGAAGTTGCCAGATAGTATTTCGGTATTCAAAATTCCCCTTGAGAGTCATTCTGGTTCACACTCCGCACCAGTTGGTGACGGCACTAATTTTGTTGGCAATGTTAGAATTGGGCTATAATGACTTATTTTAGCATTGTATGCTATAACATAACCTATGTGAATTTCTGATTGTCTTATTACTTTACTTTTCCTGTTTCTCTTTATAGTGACACTATTTCTTAGGCTAATTCATTTTAGCTTGCTTCAATTGCTAGTATTTTGTAGTTTTCACCTGTTTCATATTAAAGATGTGTATCCATTTACAGCCTAGACATTTTTTGTTGTGTTCTCTGAATAGAAGTTGCTTTTAGTGTAATCATCAGCCTGTAATGGTAATGTTAAAGCCATAACCCCAAACAGTGACATAGTAACAAATAGGTTTATTTAATATCCTGAAAAGGAGTCCAGCCAAACTCAGTTCTCATAGGAGGGTCAGGGTTAATAATCTCATGATCCAAAATGTAACAGTCCACAGATGGTCCAGGGTCAGGCACGGGGGAATCTCGGGTCCAGAAAATCCAAAAGACGTCAGGCTTAAGCCGGGTCAGAGGTGCAGCAATCAGAAAGGGCAAAACACAGTAATCATAGACAGAATGGGTCAGAACACGGATTATCACTTGGTGCTTGAAAATGCTTGAACGCTGTGGCAAAGGAAGACAATCTCACACTGAGCAGAAGAGAGGGAGTTTAAATAGGAGCTGCACAGGTGAGGGCAATTATTAATCAGGAAGGAGACAGATCTGTACCACCAAGTTAAACCGGAAATCATGACCCAGTATTCTTATAGTTGACCAGTTGTTTTTGTATGGTGGTTGTATGTAATCGGTTAGATAATGGCTCAGACTTAAACTTTCAAAATATGATTCAAATAACTTTGTTCAACAAAGGGCTGAAACAAAGGGAAATCAGCTCTTTACTGACTTCATATACACATTTCTGGTGAGAGAGCTGATGGAAGCATCACCTGTTTCCCATAACCAAAATAAAAACACTTTCTCTCTTATTTTTTACCGTTTATAATCCTAGAATAACATTAAGGTTCCCGCACAAAAACACTTCCAACAAAAAGTTGCAATTTACATTTCAAGTCATTCACCACATCTTTCAAACAAATTATATTTTACCAAGTCTTATTCTTGAACAGCAGACTTTGGGGACATTACCACCAGTGGCAGCCAGCCTATAGGGGGCGCTCGGGTGCTGCTCCCCCCCTAGATGTGGAGGGGGAAAGTTATAATATATATATTTTTTTTTTAAAGTATTATATTATCAATGTCCGTTTTACCTTATAGTATGTGGCTACATGTAATATGAATTATTAAAACCACACTTCCACCAATCAACTCTCATTCAACAGTGCATTTCCAACCACAGAACGTATTGTTTCTCCTCTGCGGCGCTAACCCCAAGCACCCCTGAAGTGCAGCGAAATAACCAATTGAATAATGTTGCTAGGGAAGATTAATAAATATTTGGCCAATCAGCATCGCCGAAATTAATGGCCTTAATTAATGCTACCATAGATATATAGCTAGTGGTCAGTCAGGCAGTGACGTAGAGATGACAACAGTTCAAGAGCAGCTTTCACACAATTCAGTGAGAGCTTTACTGAGTTCCCCTTTCGTGAGAAGGACGATGGTGGAAAAAATCAATGTAAAGGAGCTGGGACCTGACAAGCCCGAAATAAATGTAACGCAGCGAACAAATGAAAAAGCTAAGTCCTACAGCCGGCCCTAGCAGGAGCTGGTTCCAGCGTACGTCCTGGCTGACTGCCTGTGGGACGGCCAATGCACATGTTTTCCCTGCATCCTTTTTAAAAGTGACCCGAGTGATTTAACGTGGACAGACAGACTTAGAAGACCTCTCTGAACCATTAAGAAATATGAAACGTCACGAGTTCATATGGAAACTATGTTAAGATAACCGTGTTAAGATAACCACCTGTGTGCTACTTTGTGTGGTTGGTGACAAATAGTGAAACTGAGTGTTGTATTTCATACTGTTCCTTTACAAAATAAGACCTAATATAGCTTTAAATGGTTAACTGTATGCCTATATGTAAACTGCTGATTCTGATAAGGGAATTAAATGCTTATTGTGGAATTGTAGTAATTTTCCAACTTTTAACTTGAATGCATGTACTGAATGTACTACATGTACTAAATGTCAGTTATTTAAAAATGACACATTTCTCTCTCTCTGCATCTCAAGGTAATTCTGTCATAAAAACTGTTGATGCCTGGCTCTCCAATGCTGCATTTTGTGCTTTCTAAGCCTTGGAGATTGTAAATCTGCTCATTAACAATGCTTTTGCTTATACTAGGTATAGATTCAGACCTGGCCCCACAGTTCACGTCACACATTTAAGAGTTTTATAAGGATCTGTGAGTGTCCTCCAGCCTAAAGTGGTCTCTTCCATAGTTCTTCCACCAGCGTAATCACAATTTGGTTGTTTGAATTTCTTGTTATGATTCTCCATAATTGTGTTGCCTGGACTCAATTACACCTTCCACAGTCATCCCGGAGCCTTCATCTTCCTCTCCATCATTCTTCTCCATCATTCAATCCCCTCCCTGTTGTAGTCGAACTACAGATGCCCCTCTTCATGGACTGGTTCACGGACACCTTTTCTTAAGTTGCTACACGTGCTGGTGCTGAGTTGGTTTGTTGGATCAGGGTTTACAACCTGGAGAGTGAGTGGTCATTTGCCTGAACAGACCAAATCTAATTAGAAATGAAATGGTTCAAGCTATGTTTTTTTTGGCAGTGTATATTTGTTCGATCTGGTTCAGCTGTTCATGGAAGAAGCCCTGGGTACTCCAGTATCTATAGGTAAACGCTACCATATAATTAGACATTAAATATATTACTCAAATGATATCTAAATGTGTTATATAAATATCATTTAATGTATTAACCACAGTGTGGACAGTCTGCACAGGGATTAAAGAGCATCACTACAGAAAGTTGATATTAATGACCCATTCAGACTGCAAGGTACACAGGGAGTGTTCCTGCCCCTTCCATCCATCCATCCATCCATCCATCCATCCATCCATCCATCCATCCATCCATCCATCCGCAGTTCATCTTTTGCTGTGTGCGACACCAACCCAATCTACCACATCTTTGCTTTTGCATGCTCGTTAGCTGAAAATTTGAATAAAAAACATTAGCGTGCCTTTAATGATTAATACTGCAATCCTGTCAATTCTCTTAAAGGGTTAAAAAGACTAATTCAATTCAAATTAGCTAGTTCTTTTATAAAGGTCCTTGTTTGTAAGAGTGATGTTTAAGAAATGTGGGGAGATATGTTGCTGAAAAGACCCCAAACCAACAGAAACCGGCGTGGCCATCATGTTCCCAAACAAAATAGTTTAATGCTGTACAGGTCAGTAGAAATGTAAGTTAAAAACAACTCACTTCTTTCAATTTTTCCTCTGCGGAAAAGAGGAAAAAAAATCTAAACAGAACCTGAGGATTCTTTACAGTATGTTTGTGATTGTGGCTCACTGGATCGGTCGGAAACCTAAATCTCAATCCCTCATTTGATGAACTGTCTCATATTAGGTTAAGCCCAGGAGGATTCCAATACACACCGTAAACAAGTTAAGACCAAGTGCCAAGAATATGGGCTCAGCTCTGACTTTGGTTAAACAGGGAGTGGGCACCCTGGCTAAATGATTTTGCCACCACGTACCCCTGGAGCATTCCTACTGAACCCCTCAGGAAACAGTTGTTAGCTTTTTGAGGTCTATAAAACCCATGTAGACAGGATGGTCCCACTCACTTGGTGAGCTCACGCACTGTGAGATATTGAAGTGTTGTGGCATTCCCATTCATGTTTAGAGAGTTGAAAATGTGCTGGGTGTGCTTCTCCACACCCAGCTAGGAAACGCATTTGAAGTTATTTGCTATACTTGTTCAATATCAACGATACGTTGATACTGATAGTTTGAGTATAGTTCCCACTTGAAATGTACATATTCATACAGTTCAAATTATTTTAATCGTACCATATGTCAGCTTCTGCTTCCCATGTTCAGCAACTTTTTTAAAGAGTTTGCGTGTGCAAAAATAGTGCATATTTCTATACATGATTTGGTCTGATTCATACCTCTTGGGTAAATAAAGATCACTTTGGTACACTGTTTCATTGGCCAGTTCTTCTCTTTGATTAACTGGAGTAAAAAAAATATTTTAGTCACCAAGGATCCATTTTCCACCAGTTTCCTGACAAATAATAAGAGTCTTGAATCAGATAAATTTACAGGTGATCCTGTTTTTAACTTAGAAGCTTGCCGTTTGCTTAATCTATACCCGGCTATCACTTAAATAACTCTTTTAAAGATGATCAGTGGTGTAACTGGCAGAATCGTTGCAATCGTAACGGCATTCAAATGTTATACATTTTGTTTGTGCTCAAACACAACTGCAGGTGAGATAGTCCCTGCGTGACTTGGAAATAACTTGGATTCTATGATTACTCAGTTTTTCCAAGTCAGAGATCAGCCGTAGCAGACGCGGACTCGGCTCATAGACGACCAGGCTTTGATCATTCGGGTCAGGCCAGTGGAACGCATCCAGGACCTCCAGAGACTTGAGATGCTGTAGCTGCTGCAGACACAGGAAGTCCTCGTCCGACACACGTTGATGCCTAAGAGAAAGAGAATGGAATAGGTTGCCATGAAATAAGATCAGATCATCTTGATATGAAACAGAAAAGGTATGTCAGAAGGTTGTACCATGTAGTGAGGTTTAACCTGAATCTTAATGCTAGAGCACATTCACTTATACCAGAATGTATTTCCGTGTAATAATAGTATCGATACCATTACATTTGTTTCAACAAGATTCACACATTTGTTTGCATCGAAATCTGGAATTGAAACCCGAAGAACCAATCCCTTCAGTCCCACTGCACCGCTGGGTGCAGCATGCTCCAAATGCAGCTGTTCTTCAGCATAATTTCATTTCTCTGTTGTGGGAGCCACGCCTTCATCCGGGAGGAGTAGAACTCCACGCCGAGATAAATCATTATCTTGGATGGCAGTGGGAGGCTCCTCTCCCAGTTTATGGAGAAACCCAGATCTGAAAGGTGAGCCACCAGTTTCCACATCGGTATCGCTGCCTGGTCTCTGGGCCGAGCCATTAAGAATAGGCCGTCCAGCTAAAACTGCCTACCGTTAAGCGGTTGAACTGGTACAGCGTCCCATGAAATGAAAAAAAGCCGGTACTTCCTGTGCTTCTGAATGATCAAGACGTGTAAATATGCCTTTACCAAGTCGATGGAGGTAAACCATCCGCTCTGATTAACTCAGTCCAGAACCTGTCTGACTGTAAGCATGTGAAACAATCAGATTTGTTGACCTGCTGCCAGAGAAGCTTATGCTCATGATGCCGGATCTATCAGCAGCATTAACATGGTCAGCCACTTTGAGTCTACCTCATTGGACAATTGTTCAAAGTGTCCGTGTTGGGTCAAACACCTGCAGCTCACTGTCTTAACAAAGAATCTTGGCTTGGAGCCTCTTGTCATGTGGACCACCTCGTTCGGTCTGAGCATCCGCTCTCATGGCATCATGTCACCTCGATGCAGATGATACCCAGGTATCTATCTATACCCAGTATCTGTCATTTCCACCACAGGACTCCACAGTCTCTGTGTGAATCTCAGACTGTCTCTGACAGATCCACATCTCCAACTCAACCTCTCATACAGAACTCCTTCTCTTCCTGGCAAAACAAACCATATAACCCAACATCTCTGAAATGTCCACTCTGTACCATCACTTGTTTTCTTCTAATATTGCAACTTTGGTGTCCTGATTGATGACATCTGACCTTCCCTGAGCATGTGGCCAGTTTTCCTGCTGTGCACTATTCAACATAAGGAGATCAGGCGGTGCCTGAACAACCAGCCACCCAGCTCCTGTTACAGTCCCTGACTGCTGCAACTCCCATCAAACAGAACCTCTGATTAGGTCTCTTGATGGGCCTCCTGACGAGTCTCCTAATAGTTGTCCTAACGGACCTAACAGCATCCTGGTTGTGTAATGGTGCACTAGAGGGACCCAGAAATTCAGCCACGACACAGGAGTGAGCGGTAAGTCTCATATTTATTAAAAGGCAGCTCAAACCGGGCACAGGATCGTCAGCTGCAGCGCCGGCGTTCAGTAGATGTGGGGATCGGCTGAGGAACCAGGAGTGGAGCAGATACTGCGCTGACGCGGAGCTCGGGACGAGGTGCCTGGGGAGGGAAGCGCTGATCCAGGGCAGCGTGCCAACTTGTGGTGGAAGCAGAGAACCAACTCCAGATCCTGAATCCTAGTCAGACGGGCGGAGGTCATACACGATCGGGGCAGAAAGCAAAATCCGTGGGAGTGGGCGAGAGCGGAGTACAGCAACAGGCGTGGGTCGAGGTCCAGAAAGGCAATCAGTAATAATCCGACAAGGGCGAGGCAAAAGGGACAGGTCCGAGGAACAAGGCGTGGTCGTGATTATAAGGGCGAGGTAGGAGTGCTGGAAAACTACTTGCTGAAAGCGTTCGATAATCTGGCAGCGTGGCTGTGACTGAGGGAGGTTTAAATAGGAAGAAACACAGGTGCGAGGAATAACGGAAACGAGGGGCGTGGCTTGGATTGGCTGAACAAGAAACACAGGGTACAATGTAAACATCACAGTACCCCCTCCTCAAGGTCCGGCCCCTGAAGGACCACCAGGCTGGTCGGGGTGAGCACGATGGAAATCCCTGATAAGGGTTCTTGTCCACAATGTGGCAGGAAGGAACCCAAGAGCGCTCCTCCGGCCCATAACCTTCCCAGTCCACCAGGTAATGGGTGGCACGGCCCCACCTTCTGGATCGGAGAAGATGCCTCACATTGTAGACGGGACCCCCAGCAAAGAACCGGGCGGGAGGCGGGGGTCTGGAGGAGGGCACGAATCTGGAAGTGGCAACAGGCTTGATGCGTTAGACATGGAAAGTGGGATGGACCTTCAGAGAAGAAGGCAGCTGGAGGCGGACGGCCACAGGATTCACCACCTTGGAGATGGGGAACGGTCCGACAAAACGTGGCGCCAATTTCTTGTTCTCCACCCGAAGGGGAAGGTCCTTGGTTGACAGCCACACCCTTTGACCTACAAGGTAAGCAGGAGCCGGGATCCTGTGTCGGTTGGCTGACCTGGAATACATGGCAGACGTAGTTAAGAGAGCCCTGCGGGCCTTCCGCCACACCCTGAGGCACCTCCTCGCTGAGGCATGGGCAGAGGGAACCATGGCCGACCGCTCTTGCAAGGAAAAAATAGGTGGCTGGAAACCATTAACAGTATGAAAGGGAGACAACCCAGTGGCACTGGAGGGAAGCGAATTGATGGCATGCTCCACCCAGGGCAAGTTCTGTGCCCACTTGGTTGGATCCTGTTCACAGAGCATGCGAAGCTTAATCTCCACTTCCTGATTAAGACGCTCAGTTTGCCCATCCGTCTGTGGATGGAAACCCGAGGAGAGGCTCACCTGGACCCCTAGCTGCCTACAAAACTCTTTCCAAAAACGAGAGACGAATTGAGGGCCACGGTCAGAGACAATGTCCCTGGGAAGCCCATGAAGTCTGAACACCTCTCTAGTGAGGATCTCACCTAATTCCTTAGAGGAGGGCAATTTCACAAGGGGAACCAAGTGTGTCATTTTGGAGAAGCGATCGACTATCGTGAGTATAGTTGTGTACCTGTTTGAGGTGGGTAATCCTGTGATGAAATCCATTGAAATATGCGACCAAGGCCGGTGGGGAACAGGTAGAGGGTGAAGAAGCACAGCTGGGGGTCGGCGAGAAGGTTTAGCCTGAGAGCAGACCCGGCAGGCAGAAACAAACTCTTTGACATCATTGCCCATGTTCCTCCACCAGAAGCGTGACTGGACCACTCTTAGGGTTTTGACTACACCAGGGTGGCAAAACAATTTAGATACATGGCAAAGCTTTAGTACCTCAGGGATAAGATTGTCAGGTACGAAGAGGCGTTGGGGAGGACAGCCTGGGGGGGGCTGTTGCAGTTGGTTGGCTTCCCTGACCCGATTCTCAACCTCCAGCTGAGTTACAGCCAGCCGAACAGACTTTGGAAGGATAAATTCTTCTGAAGAAGTCACTGGTTCGTTCAGGGGTTCATGAATCCTGGACAATGCATCAGGCTTCACATTTTTGGAGCCAGGCCTGTAGGACAAAGTGAATACAAAACGAGAGAAAAAGAGGGCCCACCTGGCTTGCCTTGTGTTGAGTCTTTTAGCTGACTTGAGGTACTGGAGGTTCTTGTGGTCCGTCCACACTAGGAAGGGTTCCTTAGCTCCTTCTAGCCAATGTCTCCATTCCTCCAACGCTAGTTTAACTGCCAGCAATTCTCGGTCCCCCACGTCATAGTTGCCCTCAGCAGAGGAGAGGCTTCTAGAAAAGAAGGCGCATGGATGAACCTCATCATCCTCATACCTCTGGCTAAGGATTGCGCCAACACCAGACTCCGAGGCGTCGACCTCCACAATGAACTGTCTATTCAGGTCAGGAGAATGGAGAACTGGCGCAGTGGAGAACAGGTGTTTAAGTCTTCGAAAAGCCTTTTCCGCATTAGGGTTCCACTGAAAACGAGACTTGGGAAAGGTTAGAGCATGAAGGGGTGAGGCAATAGAACTGTAATTGCGAATGAACGCCTATAAAAATTAGCAAAACCCAGGAACCGCTGGAGTTGCTTACGGTCTTGAGGGGTAGGCCAATTCAGCACAGCGGAAACCTTGCGGTCCTCCATGGATAGCTGGTTGGGGGAGACTAGAAAGCCTAAGAAGGAAGTCTGGGACACATGAAATTCACACTTCTCAGGTTTAACAAACAGGTTATTCTGTAGTAAACGAAGAAGCACTGAACGGACATGTTTGATGTGTGAGGGTAGATCCTTAGAGAAAACCAGGATGTCATCTACATAGACAAAGACATAAAGACCAATCATGTCCCTAAGAACATCATTCACAAGGGCCTGGAAGACTGCTGGTGCATTAGTCAACCCAAATGGCATCACTAAATATCCATAATGCCCAGTAGGGGTGTTGAAGGCAGTTTTCCATTCATCTCCCTCCCGAATACGCACCAGATGATACGCATTCCTTAGGTCTAATTTAGTAAAGATGGTAGAGCCTTGGATGCGTTCAAATGCAGTGTCTGTGAGTGGGAGGGGATAACGGTTCTTGATGGTGATGTGATTAAGTCCTCTGTAATCGATGCAGGGGCGAAGTGAACCATCCTTCTTTCCTACAAAGAAAAATCCTGCACCAGCAGGGGATGAGGAAGGACGAATGATTCCTGCTTGGAGGGCCTCCTTTATGTAGTCTCGCATGGCTTGGTCTTCAGGGACTGAGAGTGAAAATAGACGACCTTTGGGTGGGCAGGTGCCAGGAAGCAGGTTAATGGCACAATCATAGGGGCGGTGTGGAGGCAGAGAAGTGGCACGATGTTTACTGAAAACCTCCTTGAGGTCATGGTAGTCCTTGGGGATCCCTGAAAGGTCAGGGTCCTGAACTGGGGAATCCAAGGGGACTGGCCCTGGATGATTAGCAGCTTGAAGACAGGTGGACAGGCAATGAGTGCTCCATCCAAGGACCAAACCATGGACCCAGTCAATATGTGGGTTATGTAGTCTCAACCAGGTGGCACCAAGAATTAACGGAAGGTTAGGAGAGTTGATGATCAGAAAAGAGATGGATTCCTGATGGTTCCCTCCCACGATCAGTCGGACTGGCTCTGTCTCCAGCTTGACCTGGTGTAAAACATGACCGTCAATAGCCTGGACCTCAGTCTTCCGAGTACTTTCTTTTAATTTCAAATTGAGTGAGCGAGCTAGCTCCGCATCCATAAATTCAGTGTCAGCTCCAGAATCAACAAAAGCTGCTAAGGAGTGGGAGCGACCACACATAGAAATCTGCGCATTGATGGTAATTAATGAAGATTTGGCAGTAGTATGTTGGTTACGTAGAGCGCTACAGACTGAAGGAACTAACCTCTTGGAGGGACATTGCCGAAGTTGATGGTCCTCACTGCCACAGTAGAAACAAAGGCCCTTCTTGAGCCTGTGCTCCTTCTCCTCAGGTGTCAGCCTGGAACGACCAATCTGCATTGGTTCTGGTTGATCCTGGGAGGGAAAGGAAGGTGGTTTGGGCAACGGTGACCTCATTGTGAGCCTGGAGGGGACTCCCAAGGATGTAGTCGGGTATAGTCGGTCGGAAGCCTTCTCTAGCCTTCTTTCATGCATCCGTTGATCGATCCGTGATGCCATGGTTTCGAGGTCAGCCAGATCCTTAGGGGGGTCACGAGTTGAGAGTTCATCTTTAATGCTTTCGTTCAGACCTTGGTAAAAGGCATCACGCAAGGCTTCATCATTCCAATCACTGTCAGCAGAAAGGGTATGAAAGTCAATGATATATTCATTTATACGCCTCTTGCCCTGTTTAATTCTCCAGAGCCCTCGAGCTGCCTCTCTCTCTCAGGGAGGCAAGGATCAAAAACACGCGTTAATTCCTTGGAGAAATCAACAAAACTGTAACAGATGAACGAGTCTTTCTGCCATTCAGCCGTACCCCAAATCTTAGCTTTGCCAGATAGTAAAGAAATCATGTAAGCAACCTTAGCTCGCTCAGAGGGAAAAGAGCTGGGCTGAAGCTCAAAATGAATCCCACACTGGGTAATAAAGGGCCGACATTGGCTAGGCTCACCACAGAAAACCTCAGGGGGGGATAGACGGGGCTCCTGCGGAAGAGGCAACCGCACCAGTTGAGGAGGAGCTTGTCGTGGGGCAGCCGAGGCACTAGGAGGTGCTGTGGGGTTCGTCAATTTTGACAGTATAGACATCATTTCCTCCATATTAGTCTCCAATTTGATAATGGATTTCTCTACCGTAGCGCGCCATTCCTGTGCGTGCGATGGGTCCATAGTGGCCAGATTATACTGTAATGGTGCACTAGAGGGACCCAGAAAAAAGGGCAGCGTGCCAACTTGTGGTGGAAGCAGAGAACCAACTCCAGATCCTGAATCCTAGTCAGACGGGCGGAGGTCATACACGATCGGGGCAGAGAGCAGAATCCGTGGGAGTGGGCGAGAGCAGAGTACAGCAACAGGCGTGGGTCGAGGTCCAGAAAGGCAATCAGTAATAATCCGACAAGGGCGAGGCAAAAGGGACAGGTCCGAGGAACAAGGCGTGGCCGTGATTATAAGGGCGAGGTAGGCATAATCTGGCAGCGTGGCTGTGACTGAGGGAGGTTTAAATAGGAAGAAACACAGGTGCGAGGAATAACGGAAACGAGGGGCGTGGCTTGGATTGGCTGAACAAGAAACACAGGGTACAATGTAAACATCACAGGTTGGTGTGATTAAATCACTGCAGATGCTCCAGAACATGGCGGTATGCACGGGTAGAATACAAATCATCTATGCTGGGCAACAAAGTGTCCTCTGGGTCTCTTTCCCCCTTTTTTAGTGCTCATTCATACCTAGGTTAATCCCCCCCATGAGAGCAGCTCTGCAGGCTATTACCATTCATGGTCCCTGTTGGTGGAATAACATACCAAGTGCTAACAGAGTAGGTGTCCCCTTCTTCTGGAGCTCCTGTTTTCAAAATATCTCCTCTAAGAACAAATTAACCACCCAGAACAAATTAACCACCCAGTGTCACGTTTATCCAACACTGTTTCTCTACAAGGCACTTCCTTCTTAAAATGTCCTTGACTGTTTTCTCCTTCTTAATATACTTTGCATTTTGGATAAAGGCATAGGCTGAATGCAGAAATGTAAATGATAAATAGACAAAGGGTTTGTGAGTCCGTCAAAGAACAATCAAGAACCTGTTTTCAGAATACATGTCCAGCACAACCATCCAGCATTACGTCAAACTCCTGTACAAAATCCCAAGGGATTGAATCAATGCAACTAGAATTCTTTTTGGATCTCCTAAAGGCGTCAGTTCTAAACTATATGGTGGGGAGGATCAACTTATAAGCGGAGGTATTTTTTTTACAGTCTGAACCCCCCTGACCAATCAGAGCTAGTCATTCTCACCTGTAGATTGTAGTCCCAGCTGTGAAGCTTACTAATGAGGAGAAAAAAATTCTGCACAGTACACACTAGAGGGTGTTACCATGGAACAGCCCATTCATGTTTGAAGTGTTTTTCCAGTTTGACATAGATGGCCTCCTTTCCTCCTCAAACCTCTACACAAGGGAACTTTGCACAGACTATTTTATGTACTGTGTACACCTGATCAATCATAAATCTTTTGTGGAATTCAGGTCTAACGACATTTACTGCAATGAATATACTGTCAGATAGCTTGTTTATTTGTGCACTGATGGCTGCATGCAGGAATTAGCTAATGGGTGAACATACTGAGTGGGTACAAACTCTTTGGGAACTTCCAAAAGTCGTTTGGAATTCGTGTTGGTCAATGTCAATGTCAATGTCAAATTTATTTATATAGCACTTTAAAACAGGCATAGAACTGCACCAAAGTGCTGTACAATAATGACAACAACACAAATGAATAAAACAAGGTATTTGGTGGAATAACACGATACCAGAAGAGGTGTCCCCTTCTCTACCTTTAAGAAGCTGCTGGAGCGTCATGGAATTCAATTCCTGCGCAATGTCTCCTCACAATTGCATAACACATGCACACACTACGTCTTCCATCCGTAATGGTAAATATTTCATTTGTCACGTGTTGCTGTTTAAATGAGCAACATGTGACATTCCATCTCTGTAGATGGAATGGTTGCACTCTCGCTTTGTAAAGGTCTGTTTGAATAAAGCTGTGATCTATTGACTGCTAAATTTCCACCAGCCCTTAGTGTGCCGCCTGGTTTGTACACACCACACCTTAAAAGCTATATCCTGGATGTTTTTATTGATCTATTGAATTTAATTGAATTTACATTGCAATAGCGTGACCCGGCTTCACACTGGATTTTCCCCAATCCCGTTTCCACAACCTGTATCTCCTCCCGGTTGCTTTGAAGAAACTCCAGTTACTTGAGCCGATCAAAAATCTTTCCTTTGGAAGGATCCAAAAGGTCATTCTGAGCATATTTTGAGCAGTTATTCCTTGTCTGACAAAGCTTAGCCAATGTATACTTTACAGGCCTGCTTAGTATCAGGGTGAGCTGGCTGCTGTAAATGCTCCTGCTCCTCAACTTTGAGTTTTCCCTCAGACGTTGAGTCTGGAAATCACTAATGTTCCCTTGAATGTTTTTTTTCCATCAAAATTGAGGTAGTTCCTTTGGTGAGGGATTTCTCTAACTCTTAGCAGGCTGCAATATCCAGTCAGAAACTAAAAACACAGAAGATAAAAATCCTTATGCTCTGAAACACCTGCCTTTAAAATAAACTCTCATACTAATACAGTGGTCCATCATCTATCGCAGGGGTTTGTTCCAGATGCCCCCACAAGGTAACAACCTAGTCCTCACACCTCGTTGGTGTCCTCCTGTCCATCAGCAGTCTAGCTGCGCTTGCATTGTGTGTGTTTTTGTCTATTTATCTGCTATATGCTGCAGATTTTATTTCCATTTAATAGCATTTAATATAGTTGTATTTTGACTTTTTATTGTTTTCAAAGTTTTTGCTTGAAAATACTTATTCTACCCCCAAATAATAATAATAGAAAAACACTTATCTGCCAAAAATTCCCATTATCAAAGCCAAAAATGAATGACAATTAAATGTAAACTGAGATATAGCGAGGGACTACTGTATTTATTCATATATTTTTTAGATGTATTTCTTCATTTCAAAGAAGTACATTAGAATGCAAAACAGATGGAGGGAGGCACTATGTGAGTGGCTTACCTAATCCTTAGTGTTTGCAGATTAGGAAACAGCTGTGGGAGAAGCCTGATAAGGTTGGAGGAGGAGCTCCAGGGCTCCAGGTGCAGGTATTGAAGATGAGGAGCTCTAAGTGAGACCACCCGCAGGTCGTCTGGCTGAAGATCAACACAAAGAGTGAGGCTGAGGAGTGAGGATGGCAGGAAGTCTGCATACGCTGCCAGAGGATGTCCTCCTATACCACAAACCACAAGTTCAAACAACTTCAAATCATGGCACCCCGACTCTGTGGCAGGGGAACACAGATGTGCCTACATATGCAACAGTCTATGTATGACAATTAAAAGACTTGGAAGAGTCGATTGGGAGGTGAAAAATGCTCAAAGTCGCTTAATATTTAGGTGAAGACTGACTGCTGAATGGCAGGTAAAATGAGAGTTTAAAACAGAATAAGAGTTTAGGCCAGCTGAAATAAGCTGAACAGGAAAAAAAAGAAAGGCTGGCAGAAAGTTATTACTGCATTAACATGTCTGCAGAAATCATTACATCCCATACTTGTTTATAGAAAGACTGTTCACTGTTATACAGTTATCAATGTCAGAGTCCTACGAAACAATTTCAGGGTCTTTTATGTTTCGTTAAAAGCAAATGTTTGAAAGAGAAAAAAGGTTTGTTTTCTGATTTAAAAAAAAAAAAATAATTCTAATACTTGAAGAACATTATGTCAGAGAGAATTTTGAAAGTTGAAACTCTTTGGATTAAGTTTCAAAGTTTAAGATTGAAGTTTGGGTTTTTTGGTTCGAAAGCGGATGTTCTCGCGGACTGACATTTGTCCCCGGAACGAACCGTTTCCCCCACCGCGGTTGCTGAGCAGCGGGGCGGGCGTTACCGTGCACGCTGAGGCTGCGGAGCTGCGGCAGGGAGCTCAGCCACGTCTGCAGGTGACAGGCGGGTCCGGGCACGGAGTACAGGTGGTAGACGGAGAGGCTCTGCAGGTGGGACAGGGGCCGCAGGACGTCCGGCGTCACCGCCGCGTCGTAGTCCAGCAGCTGCAGCTCCCACAGCTGCAGGGGGGCGCCGCCGCCAGCTGGGGAACACGAGACACCCGCTGTAAGTGTCAAGAAGGTGGATCTTGATGGAGGACTCAGGCGCGAAAATGCAGAAAACAGGGTTTTATTCAGGTTCAAAAACAGGGCTGTGGCAAAACTATGAGCAAAGTAACAAAGCAGGGTTAACAAAACTGTGGCAAAGTATCAAAACAAGACTGTGGCAAAAGTACAAACGAGATTAACATGGCAGTGGTCAAACAAGGCTATGGCAAAGTAGCAAAATAAAGATTAACAGAACTGTGGCAAGGCTGTGGCAAAACATGGCTATGGGAAATAATCAAAACCTTACATGATGTGGGGGAGATGAAAGACGAAAGACGAACGACGCAAACGAACTGGCACAGGACATGGGAAACGAGGACTATTTAAACACATGAGGGAGGGGAACCCCAGGTTTACACAATAGGTAATCAACACATGACGAGACACCAGACATTCCCCCAGACGTGACAGTAAGTGGACTTTTGGTGGACTTAGAATCTGGTGTGCCGGCAGAACTGGCATGGGAGAGTTCTGTCCGTTCATGCTTTTGTCAAGATATGGTTCAAGATATGGGTAAAAGCCAAGTTTCACACAGTGTACAACCCCCCCCCCCCCCCAGGAGCGAAGTTTGAGATCCCTGTCCTACAAGGCTTTTCTTTGGCCTCTAGTTCCACAGTGAGGAACCTTTCTTAACAGAATCCGTATTCTGACTTTCACATCAATCATTTTTCTGTAACGGTGGAGTAGAAAAGTGCTCCTGTTTCCTCAGGGTTGGACTGCTGTAGTTCTTTATCCGTGTTCTTGTCACGTCTGGGGGAATGTCTGGTATCTCGTCATGTCTTGATCACCTGGGGTTCCCCTCCCTCATGTGTTTAAATAGTCCTCGTTTCCCATGTCCTGTGCCAGTGTGTCTTTCGTCATTGTTTTGTCCTTCTGCCTTCGTCTGCCCTCGCCACGTAAGGTTTTGATTTTTGTCACAGCCATGCCATAGTCTTGTTTACCGTTTTTGTCATAGCCATGTTTTTTCACAGTCATGTTAATCTTGCTTTGATATTTTGCCATAGTCTTGTTTTGATACTTTGCCACAGTTTTGTTAATCTTTATTTGCACTTTGCCATAGTCTTATTTTTGCCACAGTCTTGTTAACTTTATTGCTTTGATACTTTGTTCATAGTTTTTTCACAGCCTTGCTTTGAACTTTGTCAGCATCCACTCCGTTTAAGTGTGTTTTTGTTCAAATAAACCCTTGTTTCTGAATCTCCGCGACTGAGTCCTCCCTAAGATCCACCTACGTGACAGTTCTGTCCCCAAAACTCTGTGAAAAGCTTCCAGCTGATCCAAAAGATCAACCTTTGCCTCATGTACATTTAAACAAAGTTTCAGTCAAAACTGTTGTAAGCCGACAGACTTATGAACGGGTAAAACCATGCTTTGTAAATCATTTTGCTTTGAACATTTTTACCTGTGTGTTTACTTTCATCGTGGGCCGGTCTGAAGAAGTCCTGGGACAGTGTTCTGTAAGTGATCATGGTCCAGGACAGCTGCCTGAGGCCGGTCAGGCGAGCCAGGACGCTGCTGAGCGCGGGGGTCCTCAGGCTGCCGTCGTGATGCAGCAGCAGGGAGCTGAGGGAGGTCAGCTGGGCTACACTGGCCAGCAGGTGGGACGCCGTGCAGGTGAGCTGCACGTTGCACAAGCTGAGCTGCGTCAGCCGGTGGCTCAGACCGGACAGGAAGTTCAGGTCCATCAGCGGCCTGGAGCAGGAAGTCACCGACAGGCGCTGGAGCTGACCGAACTGCCTCAGCTCCTGGATGCTGCCTTCCCTCCAGCCGTCCAGTCTCAGAGCCGTGAGGGACGCCAGCCAGGTGGACAGCTGCTTCAGGTCCTTCCTCTGGCCCCCGCGCAGCGACGCGACGCGCACGCGCCTCTGGGCCAGGCTGCGCCAGAAGGAGCGGTCGTACCGGGCGAGGTCTCTCAGCACCACGCCGAAGCCCCTCCAGAGGGGGCCGGCCGCGTCCAGCAGGCTCCGGAAGAACCTGCAGGTGCAGCGCACGCTCAGCTTGTCTCTCCACGACAGGAGGCCGAACACCCGCAGCCACAGCTCCTCCGGCAGCCGCCGGGCAGGCGCCATCGGGAGGAAAAAGCGCTCACGCGTGACGCGCCGCCGTCTCCAAAAGCCAAAGCCAGGACCCGTGATTTTCCCCTGCCGTTACTCCTGCGAAGTGCCACTAGGTCTTTTTACCGAGTACCGATCAGCCGATAACCAAAAGGAAGGCGCAGCAGCTGTCCTCCCTCTGCTGACGCCTCCTGCGTCACCGAGGCCACTCCTGCGCACGGGGTGGCCTCGGAATTCCGCTTCTTTTCTCACTTTCACTTTGACTGGGAGCGCTGACACGACAAGCCGTGTCCGAGTAGGAAAAATGTGGGAAAACCAAACGCCCCCAGCACCGACTCTCAGACTGTTTCCCTTCCTCCTTCTTTAGTCAGCCCACTACAGTTTAATGCATCCCTTTTCGATTAAACTTTGAATTAAAGCCGTTCCCCCTGAAATGATCTGTTCCCCTGGTGTCTCTGCCCATACTTTCTGATCAAGTAAAACAACATGTAACCGTTTCCAGATTATTCCATCATCTATCTCACACTATATCTCCTCCCATTATAACTTAAACAGAGAGTACCCAATCATATTATTCATGTCTCCTTCTCAAACAGGATCATTCCGGTGATTTGGATGAAAATTCGCTCTGTCGTACCAAAGTTCCCTGGAGGGCAAACTTTTTCAAAGCGAGAAAGGGAGGCTGAAATATTCTGTTCCCCCAGGTAACTTTCGGTAAGTGAGGCAGAGGAAATGAGAGGCTGTGTTAAACATTAACTGCTGATGAACATGTTTTATAGCTTACTAAACATGGCATTTAGGCTGCTCATTGAAATAAGAAAATGAGATATACATATAGATTTTCGTTACATTTTTTGTCATTTACTTTGTTTTTGGATTTTGAAATAAACAGTCAATAAACATGAAGACCCAAACAAAAATACTGAAAATGTCCAGCAAAAGATTAAATGTTCAAAAAAGGGATTGGAAAAGATCTCCACTCGTGAGGTCAGAGAGTACAGAGACATGACAAAACATAAAGGTGTTCAGATGGACCAATCCAAGGTTACCTGAAGTCTGGTCTTATGGTAGAGAGAAATGTAATCCACTTTTGCAGCATTTTAGTGAATGTATCTTGAAAGTAATTCTTTATAATTCCCTTTGACTGTGTTATATTGTAAAGATAACAGATACACTAGTTATTTTTATTCTCCAAGCACTGGATGGGTTTTATGGATCCCAACTGTTATCAGCCTGACAAAAAGTGGAAGGAAATTTCAGAAATTCAGTATAGTGGCCAACTTTTACTGAGAGTGCGCCTGTCTTGAAATGGCTTAAAGATGACCAAGAACTACGTAGTTTAAAGCTAATACTCAAGCTTCACATATTCTTCAAGACATTCAAATGAGCATTATATCCTATTCAGGTCATTTTATCCTCTCAAAAGTAATTAGGTCATGACATTGAGATGAAAGGGATCTTCTGTCTTAGAACTTTTTACAAAAGAGTCTCTGGTGGACTGTGCAGTTGTTTTCCATAATGCTTTCACACACAATGTGTTCACACCATATAAAGTTCTTTTAAACAATGAAACCTTTTTGAGCGAACACAAACTTTTTCTCAGCCAACAGAAAGAAGACGGACCCCCGTAAAACAGGTGGTGGTCCACCACCTCCACCACTGACGGAGGCAGAGGAGCTGGCCCTAAGCCAAAATGTAGGAAGGCCAGCTGCTGAGGGAATCTCTGGAGGGAGCTCATCCTGCCAGCCCACCTTCCAAAACACAAGTTCTGAATGCCGTGGCCTTTTTATAGTCATGGAATGAAATATTAAACTCTGTCAGTTTTCTGTTAATTTGCCACATCATACATTGTAACTTCGAGCATGCAATACTCCAAAGATTGTGCCAAATTGTATTTTGAAGTCCATATTGAAACATTTCAATCATCTCTAGGATGAAGAGTATGAGGACAACATGTCTGCTGCCTTCACAGAGGGGCTTAACAAAGGCCTATGGAGGAAGCGTGTTATGTTACGGTTCACTTCCCATTTGTTAACATTATGGTAGAATAAAGTGTTAGGCATTCAGCCTCCTCTGAAGTATGAACATATTCTCCTCCTTGTTAGCAGAGCGTGGCTGGGCAGCAGTAGGAGGGTCCCCCAGCTTCCACTGCACAGATAGATTCTGTGATATTCCTGTGCAACTGTCTGGTTTTATGTCCTCCTGCTGTCTCCCGGCTACCTGTTAAAGAACTGTACAGAATTCTCCTTCTGACAAAAATGCAAGAACATATAAAAAAAATGGTGGACTTTGTCTGTCAGATTAGGAGGATCTGGAAATTAAGAGTACTGGCGCACAAGTTAGCGATGGGTGCATGGTCACAGGCGAGTCATGTTAACTGTTGGAATGATACAAAAACTAACTTTTGCATGTGTATTTGTAGGAATTAAAGAAGAGAAAATTAAATGTGTATGTTTTTTAAATTTTTATTGCTGCTGTGTTGGTGATGATGGCGACTTAAAGAGAGAAGCGACCCTGGCAGACGGCGTCTCTCACCTGGATAGCTGGATGGAGGGGTCATCAGGGTCTTCAGTTTGTAGGACAGGGTGCTGTTCTCCTCCAATAGTAGCAGTATTGTGAAAAACACAAACCACAGTCATATCACAGGCCCTCTCAGGGGTCATCCTGAGGTGACCTAGACACTGGAAACAAGCTTTCCACAGGCCTTTGGTCATCTCCACCGAGGCTCTCGTCCTGCAGTGAGCCTGGTTGAAGTTCTGTTGAAGGACCTGGTTCTGGGTCAGGGTAAGGGGTCAGCAGCCTTGGTTGGCAAGGGTAACCCCTGTCCCCCAGCAAAAAAGCCATCAAAGTCTGCTGTAATGTGTAGCGGATCCATTAGAGTGCATTTAAGGGAAGAAACAAGTGAACGATATGGTGTTAATCTTCAGGTTACTGACCACATTGGAGTCTGCTGCTCAGGGAAGACTCACCACATACTCGTGAGTCATGGATCGACCCAGGCCCCTCTGCCGCCACATTCCAAATGCAACATGCAGCATCACATATGATGTACAGAGACTGACAGATGTTTAACTATGATGCAGTCTTTAACATTACCTGCATATACCTGCACATTACTGCTGTGAATTGACTTCCTGTTCACATAATCAGCCTCGTTATTTGAGGGTGCCTTGATGGGAAATCCTAAACTAAATAAAATGACTATTCCATTCATTAAGTCATTAAGAGAATACAAATTTGAATTAATGTAACAGATAATTTACCTACAATCCAGTTGATGGCTAGGATCGGTCTATTCCCTGGGAACTTGATCAGGCTGGGTAAAAGCCTTCAAGGCCAGGCACCCCCTCCTTACTTCTCTGCACACTGTTGCCTTACTCAGAAGATCAGCATCTTCCGCCTTATATAAAAAAAAAGAAAAGAAGAGAAACACAACGTTACACAAAACCTGCTGGGATGTGAGGGCATGACTCCGGTGTGTAATGTTGTAAATGTGAGGAGGGATATAAGATAAGATAAGATAAGATAAGATAAGAGCTTTATTGATCTCACAGTGGAGAAATTCACTGGTCACACAACGGTTAGAATTTAAAAGGAGGAAAAGGTGCATTAAGTACAGCAAGAGCAAGCAAATATACAAGGAAGCAACACACCGTAAAGATTTGGGTGATTAAAATATATACAATCATTGATGGCTCACACACAGTACACATATTACACAGAATCAATAAATATAACACAATTGCACAGCAGTTGTTAAAGTGCAGAGTTGTACAGTCTGGTAGCAGCAGGGATGAAAGACCTGTGGTATCGCTCTTTTTTGCACACAGGGTGTCTGAGTCTTTTACTAAATATGTGATGGGATGTATGTGATGCACTGTGAGGTCAAAAAGATCATTATCTGGATATGAAAGAACGTCTAGAGGCGCTCGGATAACTCTACCGACGAATGTTTAATTCTCTGAGAATTAATGCTGCCCCTTTATCAGCGGGGTCCTCGTGCAGCAGGGGGGGCCCTATCCTGGCCAGTTCACCCAGGTGTGTTGCATTAGTGAATCAGGTTGGCTAATTATCACGAGCGAATTAGTCACGCGTAGATGCAACGGCAAGTGGCGTTAACAGCGGTTTTGTTGGTAGCGGGACAACGGTGAAAGTGATGGATACGTTTTTGAAGAGGAAATATTCTGACTCTGAACTGGACCCTGGACAAAATCCAGACCCAGATGAAGGCCCTAGTATGAGTGGAGGTCAAAAGAAAGCAAAGATGGTGACGTCCAGCAAAGTTTTTGGCGCGAGGCGATACAATGAAAGCTATCGTTCATTTGGATTTACTTTTACCGGAGATGGAACGGCACCGACTCCGTTGGGCTTAGTTTGTGGTGAAAAGCTCTCCAACAGCGCTACGGTCACAAGTAAGCTAAAACGCCATATCCAAACTAAACACCCTTTACTTCAAAACAAAAATGTGGAGTATTTTGTTCCCCTGCGTGAACACACAGAGAAACAGGCCACTTTCATGAGAAAACCTGCAAAGGTCAACGAGAGAGCCCTTAAAGCTAGCTACCATGTCACCGAACTCGTGTCTAAATAAAAAAAAGTCCCACACTGTGGCAGAGCAATTCATTCTTCCCGCTTGCAAAGCCATTGTCGATGAGATGCTCGGACCCGAAGCAGCTAAAGAAATAGCCAAAGTCCCTCTCTCAGATAACACAATTTCCAGACGTATTAATGAGATGTCTGCAGACATTGAAAATCAGGTTTTGGACAAGATCTGTATCAGAAATAAATTTGCTTTGCGACTTGATGATATAAGTGGACAAGCTCAACTCTTTGCCAATGTGCGTTTTGTGGATGGAGATACAACCTGCTTACAAGTACTGATAAAATTAACGGATTCCGTTCAAAACTGCAAATCTGGCAGCAACATGTGGAAAGTGGCAATCTTGAAATGTTCCAACTCACCAAGAAATGGCAAGATGTTAATACTGCTGCACTGTGTGAGATAATAGTTAAACATTTGAAAACTCTTGAGGAGAAGATGTAATTTTATTTCTCTTCAGCCTCCACAGAGTGCCATGACTGGGTTAGGGACCCATTAAGCTCAGCTGTGGAGGAAGAGCTTCGTGTGCGTATTTCATCGATTCCTGCCAGGATATCATCTCTGTGTTCGTCCAAATAGCCCCAGGTTTCACATTGAGTGAGTGTCAATATTAAAGATGATAAAATACTTTTTTTCTTTGTGTTTATTAGATTCATAAACACCTGCCTGCGTGTTTATCTGAGCCAGGTGGGCCGTTTCTATGACGACTAAGGACTGCTCTGCTCTGAGCCCTGAGCTGTATCCTCAAATACAGAAGGTCCTGACCTTTGACCTTCTTCATACTGTCCCGTTTAGCCTGATGTGAAACTTCATCTAACTTCTTGTACCTTCTTGATAATGTTATGGCTTTTTTTTACTCAATCCTCTTCTTCTAATTATTTTAACTGATTTCTTCCACTCATTAGTTATCAGCTCTTCAGAATTATTCCTAACTTCAGCCTTTAGCCTTTTAGACTCTATGAATTTTTCAGCTTTTCTTTGGCTTCTTCTGCTTCCTGAGTGCTGTCTTGTGCAGTCTTCAGCATTTTTCCTTTAAACTCTTTTGCTTTCTTCATTCAGCTGTTGGCATTCTCACAGCTGTTTTGCAGGAACAGCTCTTTCTCTAGTTCCTTTTAGAACTATACTTTTGTATTAAATTCTCTGGCTGTAACCACAGATTCTCTTCTCTGAGACCGTGACAGAGAGTTTTTTTCTCTGTGACGAGCCAAGCACTGATATACTTTGCCGGTGACCTAATAAATGTCTTTTTTATACTTTTGATCTACTCTGGTTTATTCTCAGGTTTCCAATTAAAGAATCGGGTTAACAAAAACCATCAATGAAGTCAATCAAAAATAGGAAGAAAGCAGCACAAATGACGATTGACAGCACAGACAAAGCACTAAAAGAGTTGATTTGTTTTGGAGCAAGATGGTGGATTGTAACGTCATGGTGGCGACAATCATATCTCAGAAACTAAAGCTGCACAAACAGACATTTTAGCAGCATAAACCTGCACAATTGGAGCACTAACCATTTAATCTATTTGCTGAAATTTTCTACGTGGGTGGGGTGTCAGCTTCACTCAGCGGAATTAGCCAGGAACTCTGAATATGTCAGAAATACTAAATTCTTGCTCAACAACTGACCCACTAAAAGGACTGGTTTTTCAAAGCATGAGTGACAAAGCAGTGATTTTTTTGTACATAATGTCTTTATTAGTTTCTATTAGGAATGAAAGTATACTCACACATCAAGATAAAATAGCTTTTTTTGTGGAAGTCAGTGGGATATAAAGGAATCTTTGCACATAATGACATGTCAACAGATTTAGATCGAGCAAAACCTCTAAATCCTTTCATATTTCTATAGCATAGGTTGTTAAAGTCCATAGCCTCCAGACCACTTTGTTCCCTTCAACATTCAATGCTCTTTCAGTATAACCAGAGTAGGAGAAGGACTCTCCCTCCCAAACACCTTCATTCCTCCATGTACACTAACCTATTCCAAGGAGAAACCCATGTGATATATCCTAAATAGTACGATTATGCGATAGAATAATGACAATAAACGTAGTGCCGGTTAAATCTCAATTTTTTAAGCGTGTACATTTGAATAGTAGTACAGTTAAACATTATTCTGCCAATAAACACATTTGCTTTGGACTTAATAGTTCTGTGATGAAATGCGAGAAAACTGGAGGATACGCCTCAGTGAGATCTCAGTACAGAAATGCAGTTTTCTTACAAATTATTTACTTTGGGGGTTGAAAAAGTCTAAACTGAAGGAATTAGACATACTAACAGTGGTGCCCCAGGCAAACAAATGCTTCCTGGGGGTTGGAAGGCTTAGGGGTTACCAACTGTCAAAAGAGCTGTTGAATAAAATATTGAAGATTGGATTTATCTGACAAAAACACAAAATATTTATCAATTTATGGCTGGGTACACGCAATGCACTAGCGGGATATTTACAATATTACATATTTATCCCCTATATTAAACTATATACATATATATTTACAAATATACTATAGACAGGTTATGTGGATACAGTGGGACTCAGAAAAGCTGGTGTGGAATTGTGACTGCTGTATGCTACATGTCTATGGCGTATACCTGCATTGTGTTTCTCCCTGTGCGACGGTGCCAGGAAACTCCTCACACGCACACACAATTTGTAAGAAAAGTGTCCATAAATTTTTATTGAGTCTCAGAATGACCAGGGTGGTTTACAGACCTGCTGAAGTTTTGACAACTAAAATGTTGTGAATTTCATAATCAGCCTTTTCTTTTTTTCTTCCTCTTTTCTCTTTCTTCACATCTTCGTTTTGAACCAGTATTGGAAGCTTTGGTCACATCGAGTGAAAAACATTCATATACAGTGCAGTTTAAAAAACAGAATGGGGACAAAAATGTGATTTCTTCTTCCTTTAACAGTTAATCAAAGGGAGCAACTGACTGACTTTAAGGCAAAAAGACTGAAGCTCCACCAACTGGAATGACAAAGCTGATCAGAGAAAACGCAGCGACAGTGATGATTAGAGTTCATTAGTTAATACAAACATGTACTGTTTCTATTGTGTTACATTTGAATGAGAACAGGAACCAAACGCTGGCCTCTGCCGTCACATCAGCAGCATACATCTAACAATTCCCAGAAAAACAAGCACCACTAAAAAAATAACAAGGATAGATGAGGACAGATGACAGGAGATGACAGATGCAGCAGAAGGCCGACTTTCTTCGTGAAATACCTCCATCTTATCGAGATTTGTTGTTTTCCCGGTCCTGAAGTTTTCTTTTAGCAAGTTAAACTAGTCAATGATATACTTTAGAGTTCTTCAACTGTATTCACAGCCTTTTTTTTTTCTTAGGGGGCATAAAATCTAATAATTGGGGCAACTGGACAAACTTTTCGTAACAGCTTTTCAGAGGATTTTATAATTAGAACTCATTTTATGACAACAAAGGGATCTTGTGGAATGGACCATGGGAGCGGGTGGTGTTTAGGAGGTCCAGCTTCCAAGTATGTACTGTTTGCGTTTTTTTTTTTTTTTAACAGTTTGACCCTGTAGGAATTTTGGATCATCCTTTAACAATGAAATAAGGTCTCAGCATTATGTGGTGGGACATGATAGGATTGTTGGTTGACAGGGCGGTGGCCAGCAGACACACGTGGAACGGTTGGAGCCGATGCAACATGCTGCAGTCGGCTCCTGTGAGCAACATTCATATGTTCATTTTTATTCTGCCTCAGGCCAGCAGCACCAACATGCCGCTCGACTGCTCTTTATTCCATATAGTGGACACGTTTCACTTATTCTCACTGACATTGTAGAAAAGTAATGAAACCACGTTAATGACGTCCAGCAGAGCCAGACCAGATCCAAACAGGGAGATCTGACCATGCTGAAGACTTTGATATGAATGTCACTCACAGAGGAGGGAGAAATGAGCAAAGAAAAGCTCCAAACTGAGCCAGGTGGTTCTGTGGAACCTGTATGAAGTACCGTAAGCAGGCCGAAATCTGAACCAGCAGGACCAGAGTGGGTCCTTACACAGAGAGAGAGAGTTAGGAGGATGGGGAGAACATTTGTAGGTTGGTGATGAAGAAAGCAGACTTCTCGGTCAACATTTGAACCATTGCTGTCGCTCCCCCACTCTCTCTCTGGTCCAGAGTTCTTAGTGTCGCTCTTCCATCCTGACTGGCTCCCTCCTCCCGACGGGTGTGTCCAGATGACAGTGGGCGGGGCTGGACACTTAGGTGTTTCCTTTCAGGACACCCAAACAGCTCTGCAGAAGCTGGAGGTTTCCCTGAAAGAGGGAGAAGGACAGGTTCAGACCCAGTATATGATGTTCCATCAGGCTGGGAGCAGGGTTTGATTCACTTCAGCCCATCAGACAGCCTGCATTGTGTAAAATGATGCTGTGCAACAGCAGTCGGGTGCCTCTGACTAGCACAGCTCCGAGTGGGGTGTTTTTGTACAGAGAACAGATGACTTTAACAGATACTAAATAAAAAGCTGATTCAGACCGATGTGGCTCATTGTATTCATGAACAGGAAAAGAGACTCAGAGGCCATTAGAACAGGGGCTGTGTTTCTACAGTCACTGTTCTCAGGCTCACTCATGTCAGAAACATTTGTGGGAGGAGTTTGTCCACACAGACAGCTGCTCTGAGATATTCCCAAAATAATGGACTTAAAAAGAAAAAATGAATTCTGAAACATTTTTCTGAGCTGGTTTGAATGTGCTGACTTCTAAAAGGTCATTTTACATGTTACTTTCCTCTCTAGGCCAGTTATACGGGGTAGCCATGGCAAAAATTAGGATTTTAATGTGCTGGAGCAACCAAGCGGACTTTCCAAAGTCCAAGAAAGTAAGAAAGACTTCAAATCAGAGACCTCTAGAATGCAGAGCATGAACAAGCCTTTCCCCCACGGATGATCATGGGGAGCACGGGGGGTCAGTTTCAGAGCTTAAAGCTCTGATCCAGCAACAAAAGACAGAGTCATGGCTCCAGATACACACCAACAGCTCGCTGCTCAGATTTATGCCTCCACTGATGGAGACCTCTGACCATCTTCTTTTCTGACACACTGTGTGGCAACTCATTTATGTTGTATTATGCTCCCTGCCAACAGCAGATCTTTGCATCTTGAACATTTTGATAGAGCAAACTGAACAGTGAGCCTCTGAATATAATGAGGGGCTGCCACCGAGCTGCTCTGGCTCCTCTTGGAGGTCTCTATGACTGTCGTACCTTGGCATGTTTAAGCTCCAGCTCTGCCAGCTCCACCAGGTTCTTCCTGAATGCTGCGACTCTTCGTGTCTTGAAGTCTACGAGCTCTGTCAAAAGAGATCCCATCGTTAGATCAGCGCTTCAATCCAGGTTCAACAACCTGCTCTTCTCCGAGACCTCTTTTTCTGTTTGTTATATTTTCCTATTAAGACCATAACAGATGTTCAGTGGATGTATTAGCCACAAAGAGACAGACCTTGCTTGGCAGACTCTGAGATCTTCTCAAACTTGTGGCAGCAGAGCTGCTGGCTGGTCTCAGCCTGCAGGACGTCTCTGTTTTTAGCTCGTGCTTTATCCAGAGCTTTGTTAGCATTCTCATAGTCCACCAGAGCCCGGCTCCTCCGGTACAGCAGGTCCTGACGGGGAGTCAAATAACAGTTTTTACAGAGGAACTTCATTTGATATCAGTACCGTGATATTGTCAGTAAGCGGTCTGACCTTTGCAGCCTGTGACTCTCTCAAGTAATACTTAAGCAGGTCGGCCAGCTTTAGATCCTCATCTGCTGCCACCCGGGCTTCAATTTTCTAGGAAATCGCAAGTAAAAACATATCAAGAGATGGAGGCTTTACACACATAAAGTGTGACTGAGAGTAAATGAATAAGCCTAGAAACACGTACCCTAGTTTTCTCAAAAAGCTCCGACACCTTCAGAAAAAACCTTCAAGAAGGAGGAAACAAAGAGGAGGTCAATGTGTAAATCGTGTAGATCATCTGTGCACTTAATAGATTCCTGATATCAGAGGTGGCTGGTAGCCTCCTTGAAAATCTTACAGATAGAACCTATTGACAATAAAGCTCAAGGCAATGATTAAAATGATTATTCTGGAAACAGAAAAAAACAGGAGAGATTTAGATTAGAGACTACATTCAAATGTGTCCACTATCTTGGTTATGACCTGTGCTATGCATGCAAAGCATTTCCCTGCTTTCAGGAACTTGGATCAGGGCCAATTGTGGTTTTAGGAGACCCGAATGTATTCTTGGAGAACTGTGATAGAACCAGGACACTTTGGCACAACATCAGGGGGAGATATCGAGAACAGAGATGAGGAGTTGAGTCGTGCAGGAGGGACTTTGCGTGTATTCTAAAAGGTGTGAATAATTAAAAAAAGCCTTAAGAGTCATTTTGGAAGAAGAAAAAAAGTTTTTGTCCATACTTGCAGAGGTCTGTGGAGTCCTGAGTCCCTAACGTGTAGAGTGATGAGGCGATTCTGTTCATGTCATCAGCAGCATCTAACAGAAACAGAACATCTACATGATCAAATGTCTGCAGAGCTGTTAGATTGAAAGGAATGGAAACTAAATGAACCTGTAAACTGAAAGCTACCGTACCATCACAACTTTATGACTGTAGCTATTACAGTACTATGAACCATATTGGTATAACATCTGAAAATTTTACTGGATCGTGTAAAGGAGGGAAAATACTTTTAAAAAACTGTCAAAACTGAGCACAGTTTCATCTTTCACATCATGATATATCTAGATTTCAGCATCAGTACTTGCAGAGCAGAACTCAGCATCATTTTGACTACAAACACAACTTCCCTACAGGGACCACTGAAGGCTGCCTTATCTAATCATGGGGGAGTAAACGGTGTGATATGGATGAGCAGGGAGTGGCAGCAGTTACAGCACCAGCTTCTGTCTTTCTTTGCAAGCCAGTGTTTGCACACTGAACCAAAGCTGGCACCCAAAGTACAAATGTCTGTCTAATTTTAGTTTCAATACTGCCAAAGAGGACACCAAGGCAAAGACTTCGGCCCAACAGTAAATCAGTTAAACAACCAACACCACAATCAGAGGAGTGTTATTGGTTCATATAGAAATGTGGATTGTACACCAACACCAAGTAATGCTTTGTCCTTACTTTTGTGTGAGCGGATCATTCGATCACATTTGGCCGAAGCGTCTTTGACTCTGTTGTGATACTCTAACAGAAACGTCTTCTCGTGCTCAAAGAAATCATCCACATCCTGAAACACCGATAAAGAGGAGCAAAGAAAACTGAAGAAAACTGACATAGAACAATTAGTTAGCTCCAAGCTAGATGCGCCGGGTTTTGTGTCCTCACCTTAACTCCGGCCACCAGGACGCCATCTGCAGACTTCACAACATTCTTAAAGAAATCCTCCAGCTTCTCCTTCTTGTTCTTTCCTCGTACACTCAGCTGTAAGAGAATACATCTGAGATCAGACACCACAAAAAAAAAGACTGATACGATATAAGCTAGTGAGAGTGCATGTCCCTCTCTTTGTCCAGTGTGGATCATATCCTACCTGTCATCTTTTGCCCACAAAGACTAAATGAGTGACCCGTAACCTCAACCACAGGTCAGAGGCTGTCCTTACTCAGAGTATTTCAACACACAACATGTACCAGACATTCTAAGGGAGCACTCAAGTCTTCTTCACCAGGTTTACTGTGTGTTTGAAGCCTAATTACATAATAAGTTCCACTTAAGTTACATAGTTTCCACCTAATTCTGCATATTTATTTTGCTTTTTGTCACCCCTCCTTTAAAGCTTATGGGAAGCAGAGGCACCAGCCTCTTCATAGCATCCAGGCCGGATACCCCATAAGTTGACTCATTTTAGGCATATGTTTCAAATGCCCATACATGAATGAGATCAAGCCTTTAATTTGTGCTGCTGTTGTGTTGTTACACATACAAGTGAGTCCACACAAACCCATATCTGCCACTGACTGTTTAACCACACAGACCTTGTTTTCAACCTTTTCAGAAGGTGTACAGAAAGCTTTTTTTCTGCTCTAATGTTCTGCTAACGGACTGTGAATTGCCAGATAAAAAGCGAGAGCTGACACTCACGTCCTGGTTGTACTCCAGGAACACGTGGAAGTTGAGGTCTTTCCTGAGGACGGGATGAGCAGCCACGCGACACAGGAAGACCTCATGCATGGCCACGGTCTTCTTAAAGATGGCCAGGTACTCTCTGAGGGACAACATGGCAGAGTCAGGGCAATGATTTCCCAGCCTCTTGAGAGTCATGGGAACATTCTACGGTTGGCACTGGCCACTCACGCCTCAAGCTCCTGCTTCATCTTGGTGAACTCCTCCTTGGTCATGGATCCTTCTCCCTCCCCAAGCTTCTGCAGCTTCTCTCTCGATGCATCAAAGTCCGGTCTTGGAGGGGCAGGGGGGATCTGCAAAGATACAGCAGCACCACCAGTAGCTTTGGTTCATTATGTATATGTTTTTCCTAATTGTAGGAATACAATAGGTTAATAAGTACACCCTAGTAACAGCTGTTACAAACACAAACATGAATGAAACAGGGTCAGTGAAGCACCACTTCTGACACGACAAAGGGGCCCAGAGGTGATGGAGCCAGCCTCTCGGTGTCATAACATCTTGGGCAGTTCAACAAATGAACCCCAATAAGACTGAGCTCATAAGAGGAATCAACATCTACCCTGAACAGATGGTCCAAAAGCAGACAAAAGTAAGGAAGTATTGAAAGAAACTGATTCAGCTTGGATATTTACTGCAAATGGGAAAAAAACATGGTTGGTTTTGATTGAGCTGAAGCTGTGTCAATCAACGAAAGGCAGGGGCTGTATATAGGTTTAGGGAGAGAAACCTAAACAAACAGAGGTGAATGTTCTGAACGCCTTACAATGTATCCTGCATAGTCTTCATTTTCCACGAACGAGTCGTGCAGCCAGATGAACTCTTCATGCTGTCGCACCACGGAGAACTCGTTCTGTTTGAAGTTGGTGAGCGTGCTCTGTGGAAACAGGAAGCATGTGGAAAGATGAAGCAGGAACTGGAGAGTCGTTTGGCTTGGGGATGCAGGGCGAACTCACCTTGGTGTGGACGGTGAATTTGACCTTGTCTCTCTCACTCAGAGCATCAGAGATGTCCACTTGCAGAGTGGCGTCCATCTCCAGATCCACATTTACTGCCCGTGGCTGCAGGAGGAGCACAGACACCACACATCCCATCATCCATCACTTTCTTTACCAGAGAATGACTAACTAGCATTAGCTGCCCGCATCTAAGTGATGGTCTGTACCTTATAAACAAGCAAATCACATTTTAATATGAGCTTAAACACATCCCGTGCCAGCCCATTAGGCCAAATATAATCCATGATGTTTGCCTGCACATGTACAAATCAGAGAACTCGAAGCTTTAAAATAGCCCAGAATGCAGCAAATAGTGGTGAAAGTCAAGATGTTAGTACAAATAATAGGGGGCTGTGTGCACAACAATCAATTTGACAGCTTCCAAAATTAGTCCTCTCATTCATCCGATGCCCCTGTTGCTCAAACTTTTCTTTCACTCAGCTGGATGACGGTTACAGATTAAACTATCCACAAGGTATAAGGTTGTCATTTCAGTGTCATGGCTGTGGTGGTTTTTTTTTTTTTTAAGAGTAACAAATAGTGGATTGTTTTTGTCTTGGCCTTTACCAGAGAACTTTTCTGGTTCTCCAAACAGAGTCCTTTACATAGGCCTACTGCCTAAAACTGAACCCTTTAGGGGGACAGTTTAGGACTAATCTGTAAAATTCAAGTTCCCATCTCATTCTACTTTTTTAAATTCACCAGAGCCCTATAAGTCCACACAAGCCTTTAAGGATCAATGCTAAAGTTGTTCTCCATCGTCAGAAAGTTAGGGTTATCACCCTGGAGGGTGTTTACAGCCACTAACCAACAAAAAGCAGTGAAGCACAAGTACCAACAAAAGACCTGCAGGAAGTGGACGCGAAGTAAAACATCTGCAAGTAAGTTGTGGAACGCAATACTGGCTGAGTTTATGTCTGTTCTGTGTGTCGAGTCCTCCATCTGAGGCCACACAGAGGCCACCGAGGCTGTTGAACGGTGGAAATGGCTCTGGGTTACCCTGCACACTTCCAGCCCATCACATTTCAGCAGGTTTGACCAGTATTCACGTCAAGAAGACGTCCGAGCAGTCCCCAGCAGGCCCGAGGCACACACCGAGCTTAAGGGACGACAGCCAAGCAGAGTGGAGTTCCCTTCACACAACAGTGCAGCCACAGGTCTGCACCACATCTGGACCGCCGACTCACAACCAGGCCGGAACACAACGGGGGGGCTGGAGTGGAGTCTAGGGTTCTGTCGTTTCACGGTGCTGTTTTTCGATTGCAGCCATTTCCCTGTCCTCTGAAGGGTTTTTCAACAGTAGAAACTGAAACCCTGGGGGAGTGGTGTATTACCAGGGCCGCACACAGGCTGTGTGGGCGTCTGTGGGTCATATGACAGGAGGATGGTTCTCTCACGGGCTTCGGGATCTCCTGGACGGTGGGCGGTCCAGCAAGGGCCAGCTGTCCACAGCCCCTGTCGGGCTGGGCAGAGACGGCCTGTGGGCTGCTTACCGACCGTAAACGCCACATCCATTGGGATCCTAGACCCGACTAATTAGCCGAGAGGCTACATACCCGTTAGCATGAAGCTAACGTTAGCCATGGCGGCTAGTCGGAGCCAATAAAGTTAACTCACTGCTTTAATTCAACCGAATAGATACGGGCTATAGGCTTTAGCACACGAATGAGTCAGTGTGGGTGCAAGTGAACGGATACAGGCATACAAAGACGGGCCGACTCTCGCTCACCCCCCGGTCCTCCTCGGATAGGAAGTCGGGCCCGTCGTCCAGCCCTTCCTGCTGCGGACACAGAAAAACACAGAAACACCGTTAGTTTCCGCACGTCCCCGAACCCAAAAGCGGTTCCCCCGGCGTGCCCCCGCCGAGCCTCAGCACCGAAATGACGGGAAATTAGAGAAAAAAACAGAGGACAGAGGTGGTGCTCACCATCATGGCTGCGAGCGGCTGGAAACAGGAAGTGGACCCCGTCCCAGATCTCGTGAGAAAAAAACAAGCAGCCAAGAAGTCACAGTCATTCCACTTTATTTTTCCTTCTAATCACATAAAAGACACATGGCTTTGATTTGTAACGATACGTCTTCAGCATATTGAATTATGTCCTTTCTGATAATCACACAGTGCCAGTATCTGTACAGAAAGTCACTTTACAAACAAAGATAATTTATTTCAATCCAAATGTAGTTTGATTATTCAAGTATACTCAGCAAACAGTAACCCTCCTTACAATGTCACCACAACATTCTTCATAGGTCACAGATTCTATGGTCTTCACATATACAGTATTACTATTACTGTGTTATCAGCTAAAACACCCCAGAAACTCCATCTCCTCCATGCTGATACCACAATAGGTCAAACTACTGTATTTCCTTCTGTTTTCTGCAACCCACTAGAGCCGTTTATGTCAGATTTGAAGTCATCAGGCCAAAGTACAGCTAGTTTCTCCTTCCCATCATTTTGCTTGTTTGTCTGGCTTGCACGGGTTTGATTTTTAAAGCTTGATTCTTGCAGTCTATTCTGCACAAATCCAAATCGTGTGAATCATTCATGTTCTGTAATCAGAGGTGCTCAACTCTGTTATCACCTGCAACTGAGAAGATACTAAGGCTGCTGAATATATAATGAATTGTTTATTATTGTTTTAATATGAGAAGAAAAAAAACTAGCCAAAAAGCCTCCAGCTGATCCAACATGCTGCCTCCAGAGTTCTGATGAGATCCAGTAGCAGAGATTATATTTCCATTCTCCACTTTTAGCTTCTCTCAAAGCCATGTGTCATTTCTGTGATTAGAATAAGTGGAATAACTGTCACCTATTGGCTGCTTTTTTTTCTCACAAGTTCTGACCCCTTAAAGTTCTGCTAATCATATATCAAAACTTTTGATTAAGTGGCGTTATATTAATAGAATTGGAATTTATTTAGATGAAGCCACATATTTAATTGTCTGATAATGAATTAGAGCTCAACAGGACTTTCAACGGTTTTCTCTGTGTGTGGTGACACACGTTGTAAAATATTGCCACATACAAAACTAATCTGAACTTATATCGAGCTCATAACATCCTTCCAGCCTGGGTTTGAGTCCCAGTGCAACTTTTCCAGATGAAAGATGACCAGTGTGAAAGATTCTATTTATTGTGGCTGAAGACAATAGTTTAATATCACATTGTGATATCGGTCTTCCTTCACATAAAAAATGACGGAACCAATCTTACTCTTGGCCAGATCTGTGTCCACCCAAACCTCTGCCTCTCCACCACCTATTTCAAGAACAATAATGGCTCACAGATACACAAGCTGTGCCATGCCAGTGTCCCTGACAGTGGTTCATTTTTACACGGAAAAAAGGTTACCGGGATTAAAGTGGCCTTACAAAGGCTGAGGGAAATATCAACACACAAAACTAGTGAATATTCAAAATTGATTTGTCAAATCAGCTAGGACATCTGGACCAAACACTGTCCAGTAGGAGTAGAAGAACAGGAGAAAACATGTCATTATGCACAGCCTAGAAGAGCCAACACTTCAGGACAAGACTCAGCACTTCACCTCCTTCTGGGAGATGGGTAACACACTTTGAGGACAGCATTGTACACTTTTTGTGAAGATTTATATTTCTCTAAATAGTTAGATCCTCAAAGCCCAGGTTGGCATCAGGTATGTAAACTGTCCAGCAGAACAAATGGATTTAAACCTTATGTGATGCAGGGAAATGGTCCTGTTTTACTGTTAATATATATTACTGCTCTTTAAAAACTTAACCCTTAAATTAAAAAAAGCCCATAAAAGGGGACAGATTTGGACTCCTCCATCACCTTTTATCTGGACAAAGATCCACCATTGTCTTTCCAGTGGTCCATTTGGAGCCCCCTCACTTACCTCTATTATTTCTGTGTACTTACAAAACATCTCTTTAAGAGATTTTTTAGAAAATGTAGTTATGATGTATTCATGTATTAAATGCTGTGCCTAGACAGATATATAAAAGAGGTTTTAAAAAGTAGTTGTGGTGGGATTGTAACAGACCGACTGGGTCCTGCCCAGACAGATGTGTTGAGTTTGAACCTGTAATCACAACCCTAATGGAACATCTGGTTACTGTCCAGTGTGACTGGTACACGTGTGGTGAAGCTGAGCTGTAGAGGTGTTCAGGTGTGGACGGGTGAAACGGCGGTGTGATGGATGGACGCACAGACAAAGCAAGGAGGCTTCAGATCTGCCACAGGCTTTTATTGCAAAGTGGCTTCCTGTGATCTCAGAAACAACGTTCCACTTTAAGGCTCCAGATGTTGTTGTGGGGGTCATCTCTCACTGCTGGGGACAAATCTGCTTCCTGTAGTGCTTCTTTACAAAATAAAAGTGCACTCTAACTCTTCTGTGACAATTACATTCAAACTGAAAGTAAGGCGACGACCAAACAGCTACAATGATGGTACGAATGAAAAGTGAGGTAACAAACCTTAGCTCGGGAACATAAATACAGAGAAATTTAATGTGAGGGTTTTTCTGTCTCAACCTGTAGTGTTTCAACAAAAAGTGCTGGATAGTAATCTTCTCCTGAATGCATAGTCGAACACAATGTGCTGCCTGCATGAAAAGTATGTAGAGGACACAACAGTTTAGAATAATAAATAAAGTCATATGTAAAAAGCATCATGAGTGCGACCCGTGTGCGGCAGGAGGCAGTGCTTTGTGGCGTTCTCTTCCCACACATGAGGGTGCTTCCTTCATTGATTTTTTTTGGCAAAATTCTGGCTGTGAGAGATAAAGAGAGAGAGAGAGAGACAACCTTCCTGGGGTTTGGTAGTGTAGTTTGTTTCTGCCAGGTGAACAGAAGTCACATAGCAACAAACTGGGAGGTGTTTGCACGTAATCATGTTAATGAGATCTTCATGTTGGGCAAAAAAAGCAAAAGAACCAAAAACAAAAAGAAAACGAGGAGGCCTAAAGACGCTAACTCCTTCAAGACATGGATATAGACAGAGCAAGCTGCTGGGTGAAGTGGCGGTGTTCAGGTGGGGTTGGTTGCTTCGGTCCTGATGGCACGGCAGTTGGCTTGACTCCGCTAAGCTCGCCGCGGCGGCATCACAGCGGCTTGCCCTCCAGAGACACCACCACGTTGCCCCCCAGCTTCTCGGCCAGCGTGCCGCGGTCCTGGATGTCGTCCAGCCCGTTCACCTGCCACTCGTGTTTTATACCTGAGGAGAGACACCCGGGGTTAGCGAGGGCTCGGGAGGGCCGCTTTCAGCCAATTAGGGTGCATGGAAAGGCGTGTCCAGACTGCAAACCTGAGCCGACTCTAAACTCAAAGTACTAGAAATATAGATCATTCAACCTACAGTTGCTCTGATTCTCTTAAAGTGCTGCAATGATGCTACATGAATGTGGCCCGGTACAGGGCAGATGGTCTACATATGGGCTGATGATGACAGTCAAATCTGGGAGAATGTTCTGCATCATAATGTGCTACATTGGCAACACGTGGCTTAATCATAAAGAGAACACGAGGCGAGTCAGAGCCATCCGGAGCGATGTCCCAGTCCAGCACTCACCTGTAAACTTCTTTTTGATGGCATCTTTAGAGCTGGCGTAGATCATCTTGCTCTTCAGGGGGGCACTCTCTGGAGCCCTGGAGCAACACAAGACAATTTGTGATCACCATAAAACCTCCAGTGAAGCCCGAATGTTCAGTGATAGTAAACAGAAAAGCCCGTAACATTCCTACAGTTCCTCTATACCCGGCTGTGCTGTCTGAAGAAATCAGAACCTCTCAGGACCGTTTTGCAGGACCCGCAAGACTTATAAAGTTTCTACATGGGCATGGAAGGCTGACCAGAAGTGGGACCCATGGGAGTAAAATCTGAGAAATAGTCTTGAAAAAGTGATAGCATCATTCAACAAGATTACTAGGAATGAGAAACCTGGTCGGCAACATTCCAGCAGAATGGGTTTATCATGATCTGAAGGCTGTGGACTTATCACTGGACTGTCCGCTTTCAAGAAATAAAAGCACTGCATTCAAAACTAAACATAGCAAACAATAACTTACACAGGGGATATGCATGCCCTTTCCCATGCTTCAGATGCATTTCCCTGCATACTGCTGCAAAGGAGGAACTAGCTCAAACACAGCCATTTTCTGCCAGCAGTTCCTTCAGATAATGCTAATCCCATTAGCAAACTGCCTCGGTGCGCGTTGAGGCAGAGAGCCAACGGCGCGGCTAAACGCCCACACCTCAGGTTGCAACGGAAGCTGCTCGTCTTTGATAACCGTCCGTTTCTCATTCAAGTCGTCAAAGATGAGGGTAGTCTGACATGTTTCCCTGCCATGCCAAAAACAGGATGGGCAGGAGAACAGGTTGATATAGACCAGAATCCTCCATATCTATACTCTGTGCCTGACCAGCCCAGACTGATCTACGGCTTTGCTGTGGCGTTGGAGGACAGATACCCAATAAACTGTAATGTCAACCACCCTCCAAGTAGTACCGTACCAGAAAATGAAAACCAGGTCCTCCTTCTTGGATTCCTTGGTTTCATAGGTGGCATCGTAGAGCCCGTATCGACAGTCATTGAGGGGGAGGAGCTTGACGAAGCACTCGTAGGGGTCGTCCACGGTTTCTCCGATGTCCCCCACCTGGATCTGCTTTCCCTCCTCCACAATGATCTTCTTCTTGTTGTCGCTCAGGCAGAACAACACGGCCTTCTTCCTCTTCTTCACCTCATCCTGGGTCGACGACTTCCTCACCTTCATGTCGTTGAACACCCTGATGACCTCATCGTCCACGGTCACACCCGATGCCTGCAGAGAACAGGCTCGTCACATCCATGCATCACGTTCAAAAGGAACAAAGCCTGTTCAACATCATACACAATTGTCTGAAACACCAAGAAGGAATCTGCAACCTTTGTCTTGATCTGGGATGATTCTGAAGCCGCAGCAGCAGGGAGTAAAGTTTGACTGCTACGCCACGGCAGGAGTAACACACCCGGAGCATGTGTGGCACTGTGAACGTGTATGCTAATGTTACGCAAATACAGGAAAAACACAACCAGGACCAGAGCAGCCAGAGGGCTTTGTGGGATTAAGGCTGCCAGAATTTACAGGCGACTGCAGCAAAGGGGTGAAATTGATTTAGCTATCAAATGACAGAAAAAGGGCAAATCAAACAAACTGTAGGAAGACTCCCAGCTAAGAAGTATTTGAGTTTGAAAGGCACATCCTGTTTGTGTTTCTGGAACCACAGGCAGTATCTGCAAATCAAGATTACAAACCAGTCCTAGAGGCAAGATTAGTTTTAGCTAATTCTTGACAACTTTTTTTCCATCCAAAGTGGAAATAATAAATCACTTCTTCTGTTTTTTGTTGTGTATTATCCTTGTTTCTGTCGGAATCAGTTAGTGCCGAGTACAGATTAAGTCATTGGAGTGGGCGACTTTAACATTCATGCAGATGTTGGAAATGTTTTTTTATAAGATTCAATTACTTTTTATTCAGAATGTACACAGTCCTCACACTTCGGGCCATACTCTGCACTGACTTAAGGCAGTGTGATACAGCATTTAACAGTGTTTCCCTATAATCCGGTCCTATCCATTTAAGTTCAATATAACATTATTTGACTGCAAACCAGAATAAATGTATTCACAGAAGACAATAATAATAATAAACCAAAGTTTCATTCAGCCCTCTATCCTGGCTGAAAAAAAAGAGGGAGCTCTGTTGAACGATGTATTCCTTTATATCTCAGTAGTGACGATTTCATGAACTTCACTGAAAAAAATGTCATGGGAAAAGTCATGGAATTCTTCCCGTTATCATCACTTAGCTATCACAGAGTAAAGCAGCCTAAGAAGCAGCTTTATAACTTCAACTGTACTTTCTGTTTAGTCCAACTCTCTGGACTAACAACAATTTTTTAATCGAATCAATTAACTTGTGTTTTAGACCCTATCCCAACCTGACTTTTATACACTACAATATTGGATTTAATAAATCCATCTTTGACGGCCATGTACCATAAAGATATAGGGTTGCCGTAAATAAACCTTTACTTCAAAACCTACTCTTGATTATTTTCTATACTATTCTAACTATAAACTTGTATCAAATCTCCCTTTTATGTCTAAAGTCGTTTGCAGCTGTGTTGCAGCACAGAAATAGTCTGAATAGTTTCAGCTGGGGTTCGGAGCACGTCACAGAACTCACAGTTGGATATTTTCTCTGCTCTCAGACTGCAGCTCTACTTGTGGTTCCCAGAGTTTCTAAAAGTAGGACGGGGAGGTATAGCCTTCAGTTAGCAGGCCCCTCTCTGTGCAACAGGTATACTATTAAAGATGGTCGGCAAAACATCACTGTGAGCATAATGGCACTGATCAGAACATCCCCTCAAAACAGTTATTGGAGTCCATACAATCTGTGTCAATTTTAAACGCTGTTATACTATCATACTTACGGTATTCCTGAGTATTTATCCTACAAAGATGATGCGGAGACTATGGTAATTTCCTTTCTTGGAATTTTTTTTTCAGACAATTTTTTTTTTCTGGAACTTTGCATCTGTCGTGAGGTATAACTACAGGAATTCTGTATCTGGGGTCAAATAACATAAGAGGGAGAAAAGGGAGGGACATTTAAGCCATTTCTTCCACCAACTGAAATGGGGGATCAATCACAGATACACAGATGATCTTGGAGCCCTGTTGAGGACACAGAATACTGGGGAAATATTTTGTTCTCAATTAGGAAACGGTTGTATGAACAAACGGTAACTGTGTGCAGCTCTCAGGCGTTAAGGGTGGACAGAGATGTCGGACGGGAATTCCTGCGCGATGCTGACTAAGCATCACACATCTGCTTCACATTTCAAACTTCCAGGTTGGCCAGTTGATTTATAAGCTAAACATTAACTGTCACAAGTCCTGCCTTTTCACACACACCGGACATCTCACTAGTCAGCTCGTCTTTTATCGACTTAAGAAACCTGGCAGATTCATATCAGCAGTACCTTAGTCTCCACCCCTCATTCAACCTTTGTACTCCAACAAAAAGCCAATTGAACACATCTGAAGGGACTAGCAGAGCCAGGGATTCAGTTTAGCTGTTTTTTGTTTTTTTTAAAGACACCAATAATTAACTACTAAAACAGATTTACTTCATAGCATAGTAACTATGCGCTATAATGAGGAAGGGGGAGAGTTGTGTAGTGTAACACGTTTTGATTATACATGCTAATGGACGTGTTCTAAATAAATATCACAATTTTTCATCTCCATAAATGAGGTATTGTAACATGTAAATCATCACACTGTGTTTTGAATGGCAGAACATATGAAACCGGAAATACAACGAGCAAAAGACGGCAAAAACGTTGAAAATGTTTGAAAGTAGGTACTATTTTAAAACGAAAATAAACAAAACAGCTAAAAGTGTGACTCCGTTAATGAATTCCGTCCACGCGCTGAAACTTTTGGGATAACATCCAGTGATTAAGCACTAAACCGGTCGAGCTGAGCTCAGCCAGTAGGCCTCCACACACAAGACTGCTCTGTCACGGTCTGGCTCAACGGAGAAGGAGGAAACTCAGCCTCTGGGTTCCCCACTTCCACTGCCAAGTGGACGACTGGCCTTCGCTTAGTCCAGCTCGCCTATGTTAGGGCTGGTCCTTCTGAGCAGGACCGTGGCGTTGATAAGATGGCCGCCTATAGCCACACGGCCAGAGGGCAGGAGCGGCCCGGCCCGGCACGACTTGTACCGACTATATCCCCGAGCCATGGATATATTTAACACTCATATCAACCCCTTAAAGAAGTGGGGGCGAAAACCATCAATGAATGCAAATTTGAAGCGCTGCAAACATCGATTAATCGTCGGAATTGTAAGTAATAGGAGCGGCAGCCATGCTAGCTAACAACACGCTACCCGCCGAGTCGACTAATTGTCTACCGAAGACCCACCCAGCACGCGCCAGAAAAGCCCCCTGGATTTACACCTAAAGTATGGACCGTTTTCTACAGCTCCTTACCATTTTGTTCCAGGGTTCGTCTGCGCTGCGTCGCTTTCTGGACTGGGTTTTGTCAGGACCGAAAAGTGGCAGGGGAAAGTAACCGGCCGAGCAGAGGGAGAGCAGGAGGAAGGAGGGAGCCGAGAGCCGGGGCGGGGCCAGAAGCAGAAAAACTTTATTTATAACCACACGAGACGAAAAGACCAAGGATACGTCATATCTACATACGGAAAAGGAATGATACGGAAGAAAAAGAGAAGTTTAAGAAAAAAATACCTTTTTTCCATGCTCTGGAGTAAAATCAAAATTCTGACTTTAATCGACTTGTCAGTCTGGCCATTTATTGTGTCTCCACAAACAATTGTTTATCCCTTTACTTTAGAAGTAACATTCAGTATTATAACATTTTCATTGTAATATCTTGCTAAACATTTTATCAAAATGGACGGATAAATAATCTGAAATATGGAAGACAATGAAGTGTAACAACTGGAATAGCACTGTGTAACACCTAATTTAATTTGCTTTAGGGAGGTTATTGTGTAATTCAACAGTCAACTAATCTGTAAAATTGGTTTAATGCACTTAAAAAAACTCTTGTACATATTAGTGAAGGCTAAAATGTTAAAAAACACTTATGAACAATCTTATTACAAAGTAAAACAATAATAATTTAACCACAAGGAAGTGTTCAGCCTAGTGGTCCTGCTGATAGCTCGTCAGTGTTGAGGTACAGATAAATGTTCCATTTTAGAAACCAACAGTGCTCTGGAACACTATCGCCTCACACAAACGTAGGACAGGAAAAAAACAAAAAAACTCAAGATTTGGACTCAGAAAATAAGAATTTAGATCCATACAGTGTCTTTTAGATCCCTTCAGCCTTTATGCTCATTTCTAATCTAAGCTTCTCAGACCTGTTGGCGGCATTCTAAGCTCTTTTAGTATTACTCGGGTAGCATTTACATGTTTTTTTGGAGGTAGAGCAGTTAGGTGAAAATTGGAAGGTTGGTGGTGTGATTTCTAGCTTCTGAGTCCCCAATGGTCAAGCGGACAGGACACATGCTATAATCAATACAGTTCTAAGTATTGTGCTTTCATGAATGAGGTTAATGCATAATTTGTGGCCAACAGCAACTACTGACTTATAACTTCAAAACTGTTTAGTGAGGGGATGAAATGTTTGGCGTTTGTACGCAAAAAAGCAGGCTGCGGTTGCTTATAAAAACTCAGTTTATTTTAACATTACAACAACAACAACAGGTGAGAGAACAGGAAGCTGAGGGCAGCTAGTGGTCATAAATAAAGACGAAGCAGAGACTTCCAACTAAATAAATACAGGCTGAGGGCGGGGCAGCCTGCAGCCGCTCCAGTGTAGTCTACAGCCAACATCCACCCGGCAGCGCATTTACACATTCACGCACGTACAAACACACTCACACCATCGGAAAGAGACAACTCAGCTACACAGTGTACAAAAAACAAATTAAATCCGGAAAAAGTCGCAGTAGTCGAAAAAACGAAACGCAAAAAACTACAAATCCGTAGAGGCTGCAGCAGCTCGAGGTCTCAAAGGGAACAGTTCGACACTTTGGATGGTTCTGCTCAGCTACGGGACATCCCAGTGCAGTGAGTGTGAACAGTGTGAGGCTTTCATCTTACGCTGGTGGAAGGCTGGCGGCCGAAACGTGCAGAGCTCCAGGTTCTGCTATATGGCATCAGGTCACAGGAGGGTTCTCTTCCTTTAAGTTTTCATTTGCCCGTGAGCAGCTTGTGGTTAATAACAAACGTAAGACAGTCACTACTGTGGCAAAAAACTCTCAGATTATCGGAAGTTCTGGTTCTGATCCCGTACTTCTCTTCACTGATGCCATGATCGAAGTAGACCCCCCCCCAAAAAAAATGCTGTTAATGTGCTTGAGATGGCTAAGTGGGAAATGTTTAAAAGACTTGGTCACAGTTAGGAGCCAGATGTGCATTTCTATGTTCACAGCGCAAAAGTCTGATTGTGGAGTTAAAATGACTTCATGGGAAATATCCATTACTTTTAAGTACTTTTAAATTCCTGTTTCAAGTCCTTTTAAATAAACAAATGACAGTTAATGACTTTCCCCTGAATTTAATTTCCGGTCACTTGGAAACGGAACGTTGGCATTCTGAGAAATGACCGGTCCCGACTATACCCTGCAGTGTGCTCAGCAGTCCTGCACTCCAGCCGAGTGCACGTGAAAAGAGTTTGTACCCAGATTTTTTCATCTGGCCGAAACCTCCCAGAATAACCCGTTCAACAGCCTCAGACGTCAATATAGAAGCACCGTGAGCACCTGAGCCTGAAACCGGTGTATAAAAAAAATCAGTTGCACTGAGAAGAAACTGTTCCGTTCAAATCAAAGCTTTAGTCCCTGAGCAAGCAACAGCAGTCTTGAATTTTTTTTTTTTTTTCCCGCTGTCAGTGCAAAGATTCTTAAGTGGTTTTGCTTATCTAAAAGGAAACAGCAGGTACAATTAGCTGGAGCGCTACTGATTCTACTCGTCTACAGCACCACGGGTCTGTGTGTCCGTCTGCCACATGTCCACCATGTGCCCACACAGACTGGAAAATGCCCTGAACACCTGCAGCCGCGCATTTTCTACACCTAATAACCAGAAAGTGGCTGCAGTTTTTTTTTTCCGCTTTAGGAGGGGAATTCTGAACAAGTGAGCATGTAAGAGGGTACATCTCAGGAGAATTTGATCTACACAAGCTAAATTCTGTCCCTTTGAACGTTTACTTTTTTAAACAATAGATTAATGTCTGTGTGGGACGTAGTTACCTCTGAGCCCAGACCAAAGAGTGAACAAACTAATATGAACCCCGCGTGTCTGTCAGAAGGGCGCCTATGAGCCACGGGGGTGTTGGCTCAGAGGCGGGAGCGCTTGGCGGGCGGGGCGGCGCAGCGCTCCGACAGGCCCAGTCGGCTCAGCTCGGAGTGGAAAAACTGCTGCAGGCGGTGGCCGGCCTTTGCCTCGTTGGTGTGGCGAGGATTGTACTGGAGGCAGTTGGCGAACATCAACTCCACGTCAGAGATGAATTCACCTAAAAGGGGGGACAAAAGGCAAAGCATTTTCCACGCCGCTTACATTTAACCATGTGGTCATTTGAATGGTAAACATATGTAAAGTTAAGGAAAACTCTCCATTCCTATTTAAGGAAGACATCTTTAGTGAGGCAAATTAAGCTTAAACAGACTGTCAAGCACATCTTTCTCACCTGCTGTCTGGTATTGAAAGTTGTTGACCTTCTCTCTGATGATGCTAAGAGCAATCGGCTTCTTGATAATATCGTAGTAGTCAGGAACCTGCAAACAGGCACAACCGGGTCAACTACAATCCCTTCCAAAACAGGGGTTTTCAATTCTGGTCCTCAAGAGGCTGCTGTCCTGCAGAATTGAGAGGTTTCCCCGCTTCCCCCTGCTTCTACACACTGAATGGATCTCTTCAAAAGCTTATTATGCTCTCCACACGCCTGCTAACGGTGCACTGATGTGAATTAGGAGTGTTGAAGCCGGGAAACCTCCCAAACCTGCAGGACAGTGCAAGGTGTTGAACACCTGTGCTCCAAAGGGAAAATAAATGTGTGTGTTTAAAGCTGAGCTCATGACAGAGGCTTTGTGAAGAAGTTACAGTACTGCCTCACACCCAACAGGGCAGAATGACCACCAAAAAATATCTGTTCCAACTACTGGAATGTTTAAAATGGTTTCAAGGTTCAACCTTTAAAAAGGCCTAATTTTTCTCTGAGGAAATTCTGTACAGTTTAATACACATTTTCAACATCATTGATATTTTCAGCAAAACTTTGGACTCTTACAGACACGCACACATAAATTGATGTCAGTAATAACACTAACAAGAAAAAGGAGCAACAATTATCATTCATTAAACAGAACAGGGATTTGATTTATCCTCTCCAGTTATCCCTACAAGAAACTGGTTAAAACTGTCAAACTTTACTGGAGAGAGACGAAAAGAAAAAGAACAAAACTAACAAAAAAACCCACTAATCCGCATATGAAGTAGCAAACTTTTAAGAGCACTACTGACTAAATCAGCCACAAAATCTAGTGGAAAATGGACAGGATGAGACCAAACCAAAGCTAGGCCAACCTAGACATGTTATAGGGAGGTGTTTTGTTAGTTTCTTGCCAACACATTGTCACTGGTTATTCCAAATATGTATTTTTCTGTGTAAACGGACGGGTTATACCCGAGGCAACAAAAATACTGATGAAACAAAGCAGAAGCTGCATTTTTTCAGAATCATTAAACAAAAGAAATACATATAACCAGAAAGCCAAAAAGTTAAATGAAGCATCACTTTGCTCTTGGTTTATAACCTTGGCCTCTCAGCTTATACTGACCCAGTGACTTGTAAAACTTATCTCAGGAAATAACGCTGTAAATAAACTCCGCGTGCTTTGGTCTCAAGTAATTTTGGTAATTCATAATTAATTACTGGAGTTCACGTGTAGTTTTGATGGCCTGAATTTGTTTAATTTGTTTCACTCTGTCCATTTGAACATATGGGGGAACCAGAGAAAAGACACCTTCAGGCCACTTTGACTAATCAAAATCACCTCTGGAGCTTTTATAGAAAAAACCTGAAATAAAATTTGACACTGAGAAATAGAAACAATGGGTAATCCATCCAAAGAAGTGTGCATACCTGAGTCCTGGACACAAGCTTCATGAAAGGCCAGCTGTCTTCATGCCTCACCAGCTCCACCGTCAGCTGCTCGCAGGCTGAGAGCTCGTGGACGCCCTGGTTCCTCCCGGAGGAGCGCCGGCTGGAGGACGATGACGCCGGGAGGACGGGAAGCACGCTCCGGGGCGGTTTTGGTGGAGCAGCACCTGGGTGAGCAGCACGGGAGACACGGTGAGCTACTCCTGGTCATTCTCCTGTGACGCCCTGCTGTGACCAGCTCCATCTTGGCCAGCCATTTTGGTTTCACTGCCCCTGTTCGGTCTGTTTCCGGTTGTTTGGCGCATGCGGTTCTGGCTCTTACCGACTGGCGCTTTCTTGGTGGACTCGCTCTGCCCGGGGGACATTTTGGTGCTGCTGGCTGGTGCTGAGATCTCATGGCTGCTCCGATTACCTGAGCGCGAAGAGGCTCTACCATTGGCAACCGTGGCTGCCTTTGATGTAGATGGTGTGGCTTTTTTCCCTGAAGATCTGTTTGGTGGAGAGCAGTCAGTCACAGTTTGTGATTAAATATGATCGGGGTGACAGCAGTCCATCGTTACGTCTACAATGAAAACTGACTTTGAGGATGAGGAGCCTTTCCCTGAGGGGGCCGTGCTGTTCTTGGGCGTGGTAGGCTGACTCCTGGCACTAGCTTGTTGGCTCCTGCCTTTGGGAGGCGGGGCCTGGCTCCTCCTGGTGCTGGAGAACAGAAGAATCTGGGGGGTCTGAACGACTTGCACAGCTACAACTAAAGAGAAACTCCCGACCCTTACCTCTTTACTACTACCTCCTCCTCCTCCTCCTCTTCGTCTTCTTCCTCCTCCTCCTCTTCTTCCTCCTCCTCCGACTCTTCTTCGTCCTCGGACTCCTGCTCCTCCTCTACGTCATCCTCCTCATCTTCCTCCTCATCAATGGACGACCGCTGTCGGGAGGGAACGCGGCTCGAGCGTTGTTTAGGCCGACAGTCAGGACAGAACCAGTCACCCTCTGGAACAGACTGAAGCAGAGGGTTTTATACATAAACGGGTATGTATGAGAACTTGAATGGAAATGAGCTCAAATGAAAGATTGTGTCCTGGGTGGTTGCGCACTTTGGCCATAGCAAAAAACGCCCCTGCTTATAACTGTTCTGTTAAAACTACTGGATCAGTTTTGGACATAAAAAGAGGACCATCTCATGGCTAAGACAATATTAGGCTGGCCAAATCTGCATAATGCACCATGGTCCATTTTAAGCCATGTTGAGTCACCATTTTGGTTTCTCAGACTCACTGTAGATACACGTATGAACCTGTAGGAATAAGCTTAATATTCTGTTGCGTTTGTTTTTTAATCCATTTTAAATTACAAAGGCAATTGTGGTGCACTAAACGGGAAACTCTGTAGGCCAGATCTTTTAAACAACATTTATTTTCATTAGGAAGCATTCGAGTTCTTTCTATTGACATAGTTTCTAATGTTGGTTCTAACTAAACACCCTACCATGCCCAACTCCTATCTCCCCTCCCCCCATCCCCTATACCACTCGTTCTGTTCTTCCCTCCATCTCTACACTGACTAGTGGTTTCCTCTTATGTAGCTCACTGTCAGGTTGATGCCAACAGACATGTTGTATCTGCATTGCAAGTTGCTTTGGATAAAAGCGTCTGCTAAATGCAGAAACAATATATATTTCCTATCTTGAAGACTTGGAAGTTTAAAAAAAAAAAAAAAAGTGGGGTAACGTACCTTGAGACGGGGCCTCAGGCAGTGTGTGTGGTGCCCTCGATCACAGCTGTCACACAGCAGCATGTTGTCCGCGTCCCCTTTGCGTCTGCAGATGCGGCAGCGGGCATTGAGGACCGAACGGGACCACCGAATGCTTCGCTCCAGACTGGACAGGTGAACGAACACCTGAGAACAAAAACACACGCTCCGGATGTCATGATATGCAGAAGCACGCCAACTCTCAGAATAATGCGCTTGACAACTGATCACAGCAAAGCCTTTACAATGTGAATATGTAAGCTTGTGACCTGCGACAGGCTGGAACAGGACAGCAGAGACTCCCTCCATCGCTCCAGCACCGTCTTAATGACTCGACCGCTTTCACTTCCACCATCTAACGCAGAGATAGCAAGAAATTAATAGCCTGCACTAACTTTGACACTTTGTTGTTGTTGAGATCAGATGAAGATAATAATTTTTCTCTTAGAAAAATAGACTTAAATGTAAAAAATGACATCAAATTTACTTTGCCCTCTGAATCATTTGTTATTTGAAATCATACCGTCACTGGCCTGGTCCTCTTCTTTCCTTTTGGTCTTCTTTATTTTCTGGTCTTTTCTTGTGTCTTCATCAACTGCATAAGGATATGACAGTAGGGAAGCACAATGAATTACAAATAAATAAATAAATACATTCTATAGTTACTAAAAATATACTCAAGATGAATATTCATTTTTGTCCAATGCAAAAAAGTAACAATGACTAATGTACATGCCTGTAAGTTCCTACTCTAGTTATTCTATTCAAATGGTCCATTGTTCTTTATTATAGTCATAATTATTTTCATCATTAACACAAGGCTTCTGGTTATAGCTTTCTATTAGTTAATTTCATGTCTTGTCAAAGTCTTGAGTGCTTGAGACACTAATGGAGACAACTTTTTTTATTTTAATGCAAAAAAATATGTAGACCCACCCAGTGGAGCTTTGAGGAAGCGTTTCTCAATGCCTTGCTCAATGTGACCAAGTGCCTGAGCCAGGATTCGTACCGAGCTGTTGACAACCTGTGGAGTTCCACTGCCGCTGGTCCCGCAAGTAGCTGAGGTATCACACTTAAGCTCCAGGACCCTGAAAACATTACGCACCATAAAAGCAAAGGTAATTTGGCACTCTGAGGTCTGAAACCGAAATGCCAACCCCTCAAATGTGTTGCCTGTGACTTTATATGAACCAGGACATGTCTACCATCATCATGCCATCAGACAAAGGAACCAAAGATATCGTGTTGGGGAGTCTACCTGTCAGAGCAGCGGTCTCTGCTTCTCAGGTAGGCGGAGTCCACCTCCATGGCTTCCACCTGTCCGTTCACCCTAGCGTTCTCTCTGCCGTCAGAGCTGAGCCGCTCATAATCTCCCGCTTCCAGCGCAGAGCGCCACAGCTCTCTGTCCATCACCTACATGAGTGCAGAGCCGGACAGGTGAGCGATTTATGAACTGAACGTGCAGACATTTACCATCACGGGCAGGTCTACGTACTTTCAGAGTTCCCAGAGTCCCCTGGTGGATACGGTCTTCCAGGTCCAGCAGTAAGTCTCTTAACCTCCCCTCCATCAGAGTTTCGGCTGCAGCAGCACATTCTGGGACAGTTTGAGGGGCCTCGGCGTCATCTGGGCAAAGGGGTCAGAGTTTGTACAAGTCGAGTTATTTCTCGTATCTGTGAACAGGAGCGCGAGCCCTCTCTGTGGGCTTACCGGTGTGGCTGTATTTATTCTGGTCAAAGTTCTGCAGCAGGTGTTGAAGTCTGTCCCTGTCCTGCTGGAGCGCCTCTCTCAGGCTGCTCTCTCTGTGCCCCCGCGGGTTCAGAGCCTCGATCAGCTGATCCACTTGCTCTAAGGAGCTGTAGAAGAACCACTGGTTGGGACGGTTGACTGGTAGACTGGACGTTTGGAGGGGGGCCAGGCTTGAACCAGTGCTGTGGAATTTTGAAAAAAGTTCGGACATGATCAGAAGCTCTGTAAACGCAGAATCTGCCGACGGCTTCAGACTCTGAACCCACCTTTCTCCAGTTGGTTCAGTCTTAACAGCTGCCTCGTCCTCCATTTTGGTGGCCGAGTCTTCAGCGGGTTTGGGGCGTGGCTGCAGCATGTCTTCCGTCAGGCCGAAGCAGTCGTCCTCCACAAAGAGAGCAGAGGCAGAGGGGACGATCCAGTACCTACGGTACAACCGGTCTCTGCCCAGAGGCAGCAGGCAGGTGCAGGCTGCCGCCTTATGGATCTGCTCCTGGAGCTCTCGAACCTGCCAGGAGGAGACGTGTGAGCTCATGGCTTTATTGTTGTTGTTTTTCCTGATTAACAACAGAAACACCAACCGGAGCTTAAAGTCTCTGATACTGAAGAGCTGGATGCATGTTTTACATTAAGCTAAAATAAAGCGAGCCGCATTTCTGTTAACTTTTGTAAAAAGGATTTGTGTGCGTAACAATCCCGACTTCTGACCTTCTCCTGTTCTTTCTCCAGCTCCTCTGCAGTCAAGCTGGGAGGAGAGCAGGACGAGGGTTTGGGGTCAGAGCTGCATTCTTTCTGTTGTTTTTCCTTCTGGCTGCTATTAGCTGAAGAAAACAGGAAAACAAAAATGAACACACATTTCACTCTGTAACTGTTCAAATGAACCTTTGGCAGTTCCGACATGTTTAATAATATCATGTGTGTGCCCTCCATGAAATTCAGAAAAGAAATGACAGTAAGCAGGTGCACCTTCAATGCATTTGTTTTTGAAGAGGGAAATGAAACTGTTCAAAGAATACAATGCCAAAAATACCAATTAGAGGTTAGATTACTTTAATCAGTAATTCATGTCAGAGGTTTTACCTTTCAAAGTAATCTTGTTGGATGGATCAATTTCATCATCATTGCCCTGAGAGTGATGTTTTGTAGCTGCCTCACTGAGGAAAAAGAAAATATGGGACTGTCATATTGCGAAATAAATTGTTACTTGTTTCATGACTACAAACATGCACACATCTGATGGATCTACAGCCACAGCATTAAACACCACAATTGCTTTAATTACAAAATCAGTTGACAGTTCTCAGTTCTTTTGAGGTTGCATAGCTTATGAAGAAGCATGGAAGTCCTCCAGCATTCATTCCTCTGTTTAGAAAAAAAAACATTTCATGGAGAAGTAAAAAACAAAAAAAACAAAAAAAAACATATTTCCCACTGCTGTTAGAAACAACAGATGGAAAAAAACAAACAAAAAAAACATCTCCCATTTCAAATCAAGACAGATGACATAAGGTCTCCAAGGCTAATAAAAGGCAAACACATACTTCGAACTAAAAAACTAAGGTATAAAGGTATGGGCAGTTACAATTACTAATGTTGTATGTCAGAATTACTTTTTAAAGGTATCTTTACATACCCATTTGTTTGGAATCTTAACTTTGTCTCTTGTTCTTTTAGTTTCTCCTCCTTCTCCTTCAGCCTCTGCTCCTGCTCCCTCAGCTTTTCCTCCTTCCGAAGACGAACCCTACGTGCGAAACGAGTGGCAAAAAGACACAGCGGATCGGAATTTTCCTTCAAATGAATCACTTCAGTTTCTGCCCATTTACAGCTCTGTGACTGACCAACTGGCATTCACATCACAATTTTTCACCATCCCAAGATCATTTGGATCTAACCAGTATTGCCTTCACTTTAAATAGTGGAAGCAATCCACAGTATCTACAATGTCTCAGACAACAGATGTCACTGACTAGGTTTACACTGTAGTGACATCCCTGCTTGCTCACACTTACACACACCAGTACAGACTTTGCGCACCCCCATCCACTCACTGCTATTCTTTAGACAGCATCCCCAAAGCATTAATCTCGATCACCATGCTTCATTGTGGGCGAGCATGTTGTTCTTTGGGTGTTTTCAATAAAGTTCAAACTATTGCCGTTTCCCCGGTAATCAATATTTGTTTGTTTGTTTGTTTTTTTTCTCTGTGGGTGCACAGCTTCTAGTGGAGCTGAACTCTTTGGGTGTAAGTTGTACCTTTCTTTTCAGCATACTGCCATTTAAGTAACAGGCAGAAATGGCAAAAATACAAACAAGTCACTGCAGCCATACATTTCACTATGAAATCTGTTTGTATATTGCGATCTCCTAAACATCCTAAAGCCAAGCTGTGGAAACGGGATGTCAGAAATGTCCTGCAGAGTCCGGTACTTGGGCATTCCTCCTTTAACCCCTGTGGCCTTTGGATTGGTGTCTTTATTGGTTATGCTTTGATTCTACATTCTGCCATCTTGTGATTTTGCCGAGTGACAGCACCTGTGTGCAGCCTCCTCCCTCTCTCTGTGGTGCTGCTTGGCTCTGATCTCTCTCAGTTCCTGCTTGGCTGCCCTCTGCTCCTCCACACAGTCTTCAATCAAGTCTCTGCTTGATGCCAGTGTCAGCAGCTTCCCCACCAGGGCCTGCAGGATCCTTAGCTTCTCCCCTGCAGACGCAGAAACGAATGTACAGTTTTCTGATGCGATTTCAAGTGACACTTTTGAAAAGTGTTCCAACATCATGTCTAATTAGTGAACAATAGACCATTTGAATGAGCAGACCTGGTGTGAGGTCGTACACTGGTCTGCATGACAGTCTTTTCAGAAGTGAAGGATCAGCCAGGCGCAGCTCCACGCACGGATCGTCTGTGACCGTGAACCCGCCCTGCTTTTGGTAGCGGAATTTAGCATTGCCGTGGTTGGAATCGGCCCCGGAAGCCAGGATGTGCAGGCGCAGGATTTCCGAAAGCGTGCAGCTGTCCAAATCCAGCTCTTTGAGACTGCTGCCCTGATGGAGCTGCGGCCAGGCGGCAGCTAGCGAGGCCACGGCACTCAGAGCTGACCAGGTGGGGTCTGGGTCATCGTCCAGAGACTCCCACAGGTCTGCAGACACACAGCAGAAACAAGTTTAAATATCTCACCACACAACAATAACTAACAAGTCAAAAGCAGGTTAAAAGTACACATAACAATACTTCAGACTCTAGTCCAGAATCATTTATGTGTAGACTTAAAACAAAGCAGAATATCACATAGCTATCAATTATTTGTAATGGTTAACCTATGTTCTGGAGTCATCTGCTTAAATGTTGTAAAATAAGATGTTAAACACATAATTTCTAATTCAGAATTTTAAATAAAATAAATAGTCAAATCTGTACAGAGAAGAAATATGAATGCAATCATGATCATTCCCATCTGTGGCATCTGGTTCTTGAAATATTGCTAATCCTTTGCTGACCTTCAGCCTGATCTTTGGCCACCTCCTCCTGCTCCTCATCCAGAGCCTGAAAGATGGCGGTGAGGAAGAAGAAGAGCAGTTCACACAGTGGACCTTCGGGATCTGAACTAACCAGAGCCTCCTCCAGAACATCTGTTAAAAGAAGAAGACATCAGCATAACCCCATAGCACCTCTCTCCTGTCTGGGAGATCTTAAACTTGGAAAGGTTAACTATTACAGTTGGATCAAATTGGAATATTTAGTTGAAAACAAAACAAAAACATCTGTGTAAAATACCTAGGATCAACTCAAAAAACACCACAGCTGAAGGAGTAAGCAGGATTTTAGCATTTGCTCTCACCTAGAGAGACGCCATCAGGAAACTCATCCTTGAGATCAAAGGCCTCACCAAAGGCCCTCAAGAACTCCAGAACCATGACAGTTTCTCCAAACAGCTCGCCTGGGAGCCGGGTTCTCACTGGAAGAGGACTGGGTAACTCCTGATGGAACAAACGGATGAGAGAGGAAGCTTAGAAAGAACCAACTATTTTCACATTTTTTAAAAAAAAGAACTAAATGAACCAGTGAGCAAACAAAGAAAAAGAAAAGCTAAAACAACCAACTGGAACAGAAGCAGAGGGGTGGGTGGTTTTCCCTTTTCTCAGTGGACCACAGAGGACACCACACCAGCTGATGCTGCATTTTGCATACAGCTTAAGTCTCGACAGAAAAAGAAAAACCCCCTTGAACGTAAACATTCATTCGTAAAAAAAAAAATTGTATATAGGGCCATGCGCCACACACTGAAATAACCATTTTTTAAGCCATTTTAGGATTGCTAAAAGATTATTTTGATGAGCAAAAAGGAGTGGCGAACTATGAAGGCATGTGCGCTTTTTTGGGCAACTCATTCAACAACTTCATGGTTGAGCAAATCACAAGCCACATGTTTTGCACCTGTGTAGAACTAAAGTGAAATATTTCTCAAACATGAATACGAGAGACCATATCCAATGTTTTTACCTGAAGACTGAAGGGAAAAAAAGCAAATTCGGCACTTGGGTTAAATTTAGCGTGATGGGAAATAAGGGAAGTCATCAGAGGAACCTCACCTGTTTTTAAACTTAAAAGTGAACAAGCACTGCCGGTAGTTTGGTTAGATGTTTAGTCCACAGGAACTGAAACCTATTCCAATGAAGACTGCGTCCAGTGAGGGATGGACGGAGAATAAAATGCCAGCCTTCAACCAATGTCTAACTGCACCGACAGGCTCCTAAACGATCGCTTAGTAATTTAATCTGACTCATTAATAAATCAGTAATACGCTTTAAATTTAGTTCAGAATCTCAGACGTCGGTATCAACATTTCAGTGTTGTTTCAGAATGCCTGGCATACTACAGTCTTTGACAGACCATTTAAGCTGAAACTCTGAAAATGGCGTATCCCTGACTTTAGCATCGGTTACCATGGTGATCTGAAAAGATTAAACAGAGCCAAATTCATAAGAATAAGCACACTGTTCAAGTTCAGCTCAGCAGAGCTCACTAAAGCAGTAATCTCATTCACATCTGACTGCATCTGGGGGCAGATTATGAACTGCATGGGTTACATAATGTGATATCCGAGTTTAAATGTAGAACGGACTTAGAGTCAGCATAAACATGATTATGTGCACCTACTGACATAAACCATCGATTCATCGGCCACAGGTGGTCATTTAGAAAACTAAAATAACTAAAAATAGGCACGTGAAGAAAATGAGGAAATAGCGCAGATGTGTCTGTGGTGATGTCCAAACAAGTTAAACATGGCTTTGGACATGGACATGGACACAGGCCTGTTTAGATTTTTTCCATTTTCAAACTCAGCAAATTTTTTCAGGGGAAAAAAAAAGAAAAAGAAAAGTTCACTGTTGTCCCATTTCCCTCACATAATGCTAAACCAGTGAGTTTCTTAGAAAATAGGCCCGTGACATTCATGGAAATGAAGTTCCATGGCAGATTTTAAGATGTTTAAACCTTCTTTTGTCACTGTGTAATTCTTTTAAATTTTTATATGAGCACTTTGTGCATAAAGTAAATAATTGGACGCTGACCATTAGAAAGGATGTTAATGCATGGCTGTCATGTGAGGGTTTCCAGGCTTTCAGTCTCCAATTATTATTATTTTTTTTTCATACTGACCTTCAGGTCTTCACACTCCATGTCCTCTCTGGGTTTGTTCCACAGCTTCAGTCGTTGAGCATATTTTTTCTTCTCCTCCTTCAGTTTCTCTCGTTCCTATGAAATAGATTCATAAAGTTTTGACACCAGCCAAGTTAAATCTAAGAATCTAAGAAAAATACAAAATCTGCCACCTACCCTTTCTTTTTCCAGCTTCCTGCGCTCCTTCTCTTCCTTCTTCTTCTGCTTCTCTTCCTCAAAACGGCGCCTTTGTTCCTCCCTGACCTTGTCCTTGTCTTCTTTTTCCCGCCTCTTGGCCTCCTGGGCCTCCTCCCTCTCCCTCTTCAGCCGGGCTCTGTCGTGGGCAGCAGAAGCCATCTCTTCCCTCCTCTGCATTAACTTCAGCTTCTCCTCCACCGCGCTGAGCGGCAACGGACCAGCCTGGAAATGCGCCAAATTTCAGTCCAAACAAATACTGGTCGAGCTATAAAAACCACACAAATCCCGACGAGAAACCGAAAGAAGGGCATAAAAGTCTCTGTAAATGAAAGAAAAGGCCCACCATGCCTCTCTAAAACCACCGGTACTACTTTAAAGAAGGGTCAAAAGCCTTTTTCTTTCACCAAGAAAGAAAAAGGCTCTATATCGAAGATGTTTTTGGGCACTTTTAGGAAGCATCTGTTGAGATTATAGATGCCATGTCGAGAAAAACAGAGTGGATAACAGTGCATAGCAACATAGGAGGCTTTTCCACCAGTACTTTACTTGTTTTTGGCATTTCCATTAGGAGCTAGCGTCTCTGAGTATTTACAATTTTAGCACCCATTCAGGGGTGGGCAATTCCAGGCCTCGAGGGCCACTGTCCTGCAGGTCAAACTGAACCTTTGGCGAGATTTTTCAGGACTGCTGATGTGGTGTTGATGTGAATCAGGAGTGTAGAGGCAGGGAAACCTCTAAAAACTGCAGGACAGCGGCCCTCAAGGCCTGGAGTTTCCCACCCCTGACCCTACTCCGTCAGGGATCCAAGCAGAGTGATGGCAGAATGCCGGCCACTGACTGCCCAGTGAGTCTGATGACTTGATAAAATCCCTTCAGGACAGGACCACCCATTTTCAAAATTCAAAGGCTAATTTAATTAACTCTCTATTAGTGTTACATACAAATGATGGCATGCGCCATTCCTGTTAGGAGCTCATTTATAATGGCAAACCACCTTAACCGACCCATGGAGAAGTGAGCAGGGCTGAGTTAATGGAAAATCCCCAAAACACTACAATTATTTTCATGTACCTGTTTGGGGGAGCCACGCCCTCCTCCATTTGAGGGGGAGCTGTAGGGGAAGAGGGGGGGCTCATCAGGGAAGAACTGAGAAAAGGTCTGCTCGGCCAGCCGGTACTTCTTCACCGTGGAGCCCTGGAAGACGCACAGATGAGTTAGAACCGTAGGGGCCCGACACAAGTGACTCGCCTGTTAAGCAGCCATTGGTAGTATTGGCGTTACCTTCAGTGTGATGATCCCCCTCACAGGCTCACAATGCTGCTTGAAGAGCAGCTTCAGCCTCTCTCTGGACAAAGTGGACTTCCTACGACTGAAAGGACCAAACGTTCATCACCTCAACAGCTGAAGCAAACAGGAACCATCCCTAGAATTTCCCATTATGTCCCCCAACAATCAAGCAACATCTGGCCCTGTTGACATTCAGGCTGTTGTGTTTTTTTTGTCCAACTGGCCCTCAAGTTTTATGAAAAACTTACTTAAGTTTCTGGACTATAAGAAGAAGTTTTTTCCCCCATAGTTATACTGACATCTTACAGTCGGGTGCAACTTATTCAAAATATGTAAGGTTTTAAGTGGTAATTCCTAAATACTGGCATGAACCAAGGACTAAGCTTTATTGTCAACAGCCGCGAGAGGGGCACTTAAAAACAACCCAGTCATGTTGAATGATATCAAAAGCATGGTGAACTTGCCTACTGGTTAATTACTAGCCAGTTACCCCAATTTATCCATTTGCTTTATGCTATTGTGCATCTGAATAACTGTTTGTGTGTCATGTTATTCATCCTGTTGTGTGCTTTTGTGTACTTGAATAACTTGCGTTTCCATATTAAGGGGTTTTTGGATTGGATTTTGTAAAAATAAGTTTTTTAATGAATGCAACGTATAGTCTAATGCGATTTACATCTTTTATTTATGAAACATTTTTTGACCGATAGCACCTCACAGTCCAGAAAATGTAGTAACATCCTGTAACTAGACCATGTGCATAAACCGGCACAAAACAACCTTTTTGTTTTATTTAGGTAGCATTGGCTCATTACGTTTTGCCGTTTTTACATTTGTATAAAGAGTACAATATAGGCATTGTTAGTGTACAACGCATGTATCAACAGTGGTGCATGTGATCACATTTTCAATTCAACTTTCAAAGAAAAAACTCATATTTCTAACCGTACATTCATCTTTGTAAAAATAAAGAAAATGTGAATGTCTTGTTTCAGTAGGACTTATTCTTAAAAGGTATTCAAACAAATATATTACTAATCTTATAGAGATCTTTTTTAATTGAGATGTTTTATTGCTACTTTATCTGATAAAATAAGAGCATCAGGGCATGAGGATACATTTACATTACAGTACTTCTACTAACCCAAGCAAAATTAGTCAGATGGACTCGTTTTGTCACTTTCTTCCAGCCAGCATTTATTGATCTGTTGGTCTGCTTGCTCATAACCTTTACCAACAAATCTAATGTATATGAAGGACGTATTTTGATCTGAGAAATACTCTCCAGATCCCTGTTTGTGGTTGGTCTTCTAGAGTCAACAAAGCCCCTTTATAAGAACAAACACTTATCCAAATATCTAAAGAGGTAGGCTGCATAGTTAGGGATGGTTCTGGCACATGACAGATAAAGTGAAGCTTCCCACCTGATCTGATTGGCTTTGACAGTAAATGTCTCACTGTGTTCATCCTTCATCATCCTCACTTTGTATTTAAATACTGATGGACTCAGAGGCTTCTTCTTCCTGTAGACATGCAAATAAGCATACAGAGACAGTGTTGTCATATATGTCGTCCCTGCATAGATCATCCTAGCATCAGTAAGCATTTCTCACCCCATGTGCTCCAATTCTTAAAATCATTTCATACATAGAGCCACAAAGTAAAACGCTGACTATCACAGCCACTTCACCTCTCTTAAATTCAAATGGAAGAACTTTTAAAGCCATTTTAAAGTGAAATTTAAAGATTTTTCAGTGCCTCACGGTAATGATAATTTTGCTTTTACCTAAACACTTTAAATAATCATTGTCCTTCATTATCACATTTCAAACTTATCCAAATTAGAAGTTACTGAACCAAAAAGGACTAAACAGCATTCTACTCAAGGGTGACAAATGACAACCACAACAAAGTTGCTTCTAAAAAAAATTCCAAAAAAAAAAAAAAGTATCACCTGCCATTAATTGCACCTGCTTTATAACTTCTTCGGCCTGTACAACTGAAAAAAAAAATCCCCTTTATTTCAAGAAATATTTTGGTGAAGGGGAAATATATGAGGACAATATGAAGAAAGCTGTTCATCAGCTCCTGAAGCCATCTTGGTGAAAACAAGCCAAACAACTCTGCTTTAGTCAGCACAGGAGCTTTAACCCTCAAACAGAAAGCTTTAGCGTGCATTACTCTGATCCCAAGAAGATCACTTTCAAAAGGCTTTGGTTGCTTTCATGTAAAGTCTTTCAGTTTTAGTCTTATCTTTTGGTTGTTGTCACTAAAGAAAAGCTCTTAGTCGAGCTGAGGTAAACTCCCATTAGTTGATTCCGGCATTTTCCAGAAAACATGTGACCTTTCTGTGAGTTTATCATTGCTTTTCTAATTACAGTGAAAGGGGAAATGGCTGTGATAATTCACCTCAAATAATCCCAGTTGTGTGATTATTCAACCGGGAGAGCAAATGTGTGACATGATGGCTACTAACCCGTTGACCTGTGCTTTGGGACTCTGGAAGGCATGGCTCTCATCGTCACTGTCGCTGATCACAATGGTGTCAGCATCAGCTGCACGTGTGTGTCCGTTTGTGACCGCTTTGGCGTGAGAGCAGGGGAAAGGTGGAAGCACCTGCAGGATCTCACACACATGCCTGAAGCACACACACAAACACACACATGTTTTTGCATCCACATACATCAAAGTTCAAAATAAACAGAACAGCCATGCTAGCCGTACACAAGACGGGAATTCTCCGCTCCAGTACCTGGCTCCGTTGCGTCTGCTGACATCTACGATCTCCCCGGGGAAGAAGCGGCCTTTGACAAAGTTGAACACGTCTTCACAGAGCTCGGACAGCCTGGCGCGATGGCTCAGAGCGGCCAGGTGCAGCAGGGGCACCAGCAGGGACTGGGGGAAGCTCTGGAGGTTCTGCCTCGCCCGCTGCTCGCTCTCTACCGCCTCCAGGTAAGTCAGGCCCGCTCGCCCCGTCAACGCGCAGCTCCACACCAAGCTGTTGCAGAGGATGGTCCTCTCAAAAAACTCACTGCGTAGGGGTTGAGAGAAAAAGAGGTTTTAGAGATCCTTAAATCAAAGTTGAGTTGCCAGGATGTGCTGCTGTGTATACTGCAGAATCCCTGTCCAGATTCAGCTCCACCATGTCTGTACAAAACAGAAAGAGGAGCTGCTGCTCCCCTTTTCTAGTCTAAACAAAAGAAAGTCAGTGGATCAGTTAATGAGGGAAATGATTTTAAGTTAACAGGCATGATCTAAATAACTGTGTTCTCTCCATAAGTAATTCTATTTAGGCTGCTGACAAGAAAAAGATTGACCGAAAAGATAAATGTTGTGATGCACGAGTACTGATGGTTGACACTTTTCCTGTGTTGCGTAAAGAACAGACGGTGCTCACTGCTTGCTCATGTACAACTGCAGGCATAAATGATGAAACCACCACACCCAAAAAGAAAGAAAAGATCAGACAGCAGATAAAAAAAACACTTTTTTTCCCGGGTACAAGACCCTTGTCTTTCAGCAGATTTTTCTATTTAAGAAAAAAAGAAGAAAAAAAAAGAGGAACAACCGGGACAGAACGGTCTAGAGAAGAGCAACCGGGACAGAACGGTCTAGAGAAGAGCAACCAGGACAGAACGGGCTAGAGAGACGCAACCGGGACTGAACGGGCTAGAGAGGAGGAACCGGGACCGAACAGGCTAGAGAGGAGCAA